CCATTGAGCATCCTGGGTACTGGGTATCGAGTTTTCACCAGTAATTGTGTCATGTTCGCTGCGAATTGTTGGGCTGAATGAACGGAAATCATCTGAACCCATGGTATCTCTGAAGGGGGCAACAGCTTTCTGCTGCAGACGGCGAGCATGGGGATCCGGGGGACCTTCACGGATGAAGTCAATAAGCTCAGAAGTCTTGTTATCTCTGGCAAAGACTGCTGGACGGGCTTCGAGACGGGGTTTGTTTGCTCGAGGAGTGCTTTCTCTCGATGCCCTTGGAGGAGCAAGCATACTTGGTGAAAGTGAACCTATGGTTGCGGGTGAACTTGGAACGGATCTTGCAGCGCGAACGCTGGTATTAAGGCGAGCAGCAGCTGGGTGTAACCCGTGGTCTGGCCCAGTGGAACGGATGAAGTTAGCGAAATCTCTGACAGACGCATTGTCTGGCCTTGCATCTCGTGCCTGTGGAGCTGTCACTTTAGTCTTTGGCGGGGGGGTAGGGGGGTTTCGAGCAAGCGGGGATTGCGGAGAAGGGGATTTCGAGGGCGATCGTAGATTGGGTGATAGAATCCTGCGACTATGCTTGCCACTTTTGACTGAGCTTGTATCAAGTGAATCGGTAAGGTCAGGTCTGGTAGCTGCCCATCGAGGCGAACCGGCTTCCTCCATCTCCCTCATGTTTCGTGGTGTCAGGGTATAGTGAATCGTCTCATCACTCTTCAGGAGATCCTCGAGAGCTGTTGATCCGGTTCCACTACCATCACACGACCCTCTCACAGAGGCCGATAGGTCTGATGGCTGTCTACTGCTTAGGCCCCTGATCCTGCTTGAGCCTTGAGAGACACCAGAACCAGAGGTGATGGGGCGTTTGTCACGTTGGCTGTCTGTACTCCCTGATCTGCGCAGTTTGCTGGAATCTCGAGAGATGCTACATGGCGGAGGTGTCACTCGTTGGACTGCGGCACGTTCTGAGCCAGGGGATACAGAAGGAGCCTGTCTTGTGGAACAGTTTGTATTAATTTTTGTGAGCCATGCTCTGCTCCGTGGGTTGACGGAGCGTTCGCTTTCCCCGGATAGAGAAACTTGGTCTGCAAGTCGTTGCGATTGGACGGAACTATGCCGTTCTTGCACGGGTGTGCTGTCAGTCACTTCGGTCAACGGGGTGAGTCGAGATCCCTGGCTGGGAGAACGAGCGGAGTGTGAGATGAAGGATGTTTCCACGATGTTTTCTTCATGAGTGGATGAGGCATCTCCGAATGGGTTGCTGGTAGGTGGTGGACCAGATATCTTTCGGGATCGAGCAGGCCTGTAGCTTGGTTGCTCGTCGTCAGTAAGGGACGAAGAAGAGTAGTAAGCTGGGTTTCCGTCTGCAATGTCATCACAAGTAGTGATGCGTGCAGAACTGCCGCTTGTCTCTGGCGCAGCTGTGGATTCTGCGGATTTCGTAGAATGGGACTGCGAGACATCTGGTACAGTATGTATCGAGGAGATGATGCTGCTGGAATCGCCCATTTCGCTGCTGGGAGGGGAGACGTCCGGCTCCATTGAATCATGGCGATTCACTTTCCTGGCACTGTCATGCGAGGGAGTCTGAAGGCCATCCATTTCAGGAGTAGAGTCAGGACCAGCCTGTTGTTCTTCTTCACCGGTCGTCTTCTTCTTTTCTATCTCAGGTTCTTCTGCCTCGGGCATGCTCTCGAGGATCTCGTCACGAGACTCTGCAGCGGACGAAGCGGCACGCTTGGTTCGCGGAGGAGAATGGAAGATAGGCGTGACATACATCGATTGAGGGAGAGATTTGGAGCGAGAATGAGTGTTTTTAATACTGTTTGATCGAGGAGGAGAGGACTTCACTCGCGGCGAGTTGCTCCTTGTCGATCCTGGGGACCCGATATCAGAGCTAGAGATGAACAGACTTCTCGGACGCATCGAGCGCGCAGGCAACGCCACAGCGAGTTGTGAGGTGAAACCGGGCATCTCAATTTCATCAATGTCATACTCATTAAGTGGTAGAGGAATCTCCGCTGGGTTAACCGATTCCGTGTTTTCTGAAACATGATGATCAGAAGCAATTTTGCGGCCAAAGGGGAATCCGTCAAAGGTGTCGACGGTACCAATGCTGCTGCGGGTGCTAGTTCTCGAGGTGCAGCCACGCTGTACGAGGGATTCTCGAGATAGCGTTCTCGAAAGCATGGGGAGTCTTAGGTTCTTCCTCCAGGTGCGCCAGAGTCGGCCCAGCGTTGGGTTGAGGGCGACCTTCTCGACGTCAACATCGTCAACTATCAGCGTTCCACCCTGGTACTTCCTCTCGTCGTCCTCGTCCGAGAAGCCAAGCCTGGAGAACGCGTTTTCTCCGGCAATAACCAATATGTTCTCGGCGATATATTCCAAGATCGAGGTGAGAAATATGGCTGCTGCCGGCGTGAGGATTCCGACGTGGTTGGAGAACCTGTATGCGCAGGCGTTGGTTTCGTTTAGCCCTTCCCGCTGAAGGTGTTCCTCTTCGTCGTCCTCCTCCATATCACCTAGTCTCGCATATACCATGCATCGTAAGCGGGTCAGCTTCCACGACCGTTCGAGCTCAAAGTGGCCTGTGGGGTCTTGGTTGCCTCTGAATTCAGCCAATTCTTCCTCATCACTAGTGCCCATGTATTCACTGAGCTCCTCATCCGCGGCTGAGACGACTGCGCGGGCGAGCCTGGGCTTCAACACATCGGAGACAGCTGGTCTGATGGCTGATAGCTTTGTAGACTTGGCTGCCAGCAGGATGTTGAACAGTATATGGTCGAGGAAGCCGTTGACGAGCACGAGAGACGGTGGTGTGACTATGGCGTTTCCTGGCTTTCCTTCTTTTGGTTCTAGAGGGTTGACACCGTAGGACGCAGATATCAACTGTGTAGCCGCTGAGATGGCGACGTACTGTGGTGCTGGGTTGACGAGCGGCGGCGAAGGGACACCGACCTTGCTGCCAATACCACCGCTACGATCGTACGAGAGACTGGTACTTCTCGCACGCCTAGCGGCCATGAAAGCAGACGGACCGTCGCCCTGCATTGTTTTTTTATTATTATTATTTTCTCAATATATCTTTTTTCTCTTTCCGTGAGGGTGAGTCTGGCGACTTTCTCTTCGTTTTCACGCAACCATTCGGTATGTCTGTATTATTTGTATATCGTGGGTGAATCTGGACTATAATCAGCAATTCAGTCCATGATCTCTCACTCTTTCTCCCGCCCCCTGTATAAAAGTCGACTTTCGCAAACAAAGGAGGATCCCGTCTGGGAGGGATGGTTTGATATCCCGTCTGCTGGAGCCCGCTCAGATGTGTATGTGTGTAGATATATATAGGTATGGGTATGTGTATAGGCTCCCAGCCCCAGAATAGAAGCGGGAAGACGGGAGAAACCAGGGAAACCCGGCGGGAAGGGGAACCTACATATAAACAAGTTCCGTAGCGAGCGACTCTGGTGTATAGGGATAAAAAAACAAGAGTCCTGGCCTGAAGGTCTGTTGCAGGCAGAGAGGATTGAAAGAAGGACAAGACAAGAGAAGAAAGACAAGAGAGAGTGTCGGTTCCCGTCCAGTTGCGAATTCTCGAAGGGACAAGACAAATATGAATTAGAGTAGATATTTCCTTTTTCCTTCTCTTCTTCTTCTTTTCTTCTTTCTGGGGCGGCTGATGTTCGTATATATGACTTCTTGGTGCTTTTTGAGTCTATCTCGCCGCCATGTCGCGGGGAGCGATGTGCAAGATTCCCTTTGCTTCCTTTTTCCTTCTTGACCGGTCGAGTAAAGGAGTGTCTGAATAATTAGAGAAAGAGAAAGGAATTAAAAAAAAAAAAAACGAATGAGAGAGTGAAAGCGTGTGTGTGGGCGTGTTAAAGGGTCAAGGGGAAGGCCGGCTCAGGGGCAAAAAAAAAGTAGCTCTTATAGCCACAGCTTCGACCTGCACAAACGAAGAGTTACATGCACAAGATCGAGAGCAAACACAGAGAGATCCCAATGTTCATCCTCTGGTGGAGTCTTTTATCCTCTCGTGTCTGGAACTCCCAGCGCGGTGCTTTCGAGTAAGGATGTCCCTGGTTAATATTCTAGTAAAGAAGGCTTTTACTCCGTCCACGACTCCAGTCGGCCGTGATCGATAATCGATGATCAGCAAAAGAGGCGAAGTAGGAAGAAGGATAGGAAGAAGAAAAGAAGCCCGTCTTCTCTTGTTGAACGGGGGCAGCTTATATCGGTTTTTTTTCTTATTATTTCTTGACTTTCTCTTGACTACGGAGTTACTTTTCTTCTCTCTCCCTCTTATCCTTCTGCCCCAGATCATCCAGCAAGGGGCCCTGCGTCAAATCACGGCATATTTCTCCCGTTAATACGACCAAAAAGATCTTCTCCATATTGTTCATCCTGGAATAACTCTCTCCAAGGCGAGAGGGGAAAAGGGGGGGCAGTCCCCTTCGATTTTGCTTCGTTGGCTCTTCCTCCAGCCTGTTACTCCCTGTCTACTATGTACGGATCGGGACCCCTGAACCAGATCCGCATCACTCGGTCAAAACGCTACGGATGTGTGTACCAGGTACATCGAACTTTTCCACTGCCCACTATGGAGAAATGTACTTTACATATAGTCTTATACGTATACGCTACCGGAACCATAAAACCACTATCATGGGGCGCGGGCTCGATGGCGGCCACTAGCTCTGCACCATGGGAATAGTCTGATGCTCGTCCTGCTGGTTTTCTCGAATCCTTGGAGGTGATACTTCTACACTCGATACGAGATAACTATAGACAGCTTGACAACTAGAAAATCTCATGGTGAAAAAGCATCATGGTCATGTCGGTTGAGCTTACACACACGAGCAGAGTCGGAAAAGGACAGAGAAGAAGAAGCAAAGAAGAGACTCCGCCTCCACGTTGCCCGACTTGTCTCATCCATGCTTCGGTTCTCCCTCCAGTCAAGAGAAGAAGAAGACGAACAAGAGAGAGTCATTGACATCGCTTTGCCGTTCACCGTTATCCTTCAGCCTTTGTGGAACACTAGAGCCCATCGAGCAAACGCTGGTTGCTGGACACTGTGAGACGACACGGCGCAGACACCAAAGGGCGAAACCAACTTCTCTCTTCCCTACATTGTACCACAAATATGCCCAGACTTTTCTCTTTCTTTTCTTTTTTTCTCTGCTGAAGTCTTATGATTTCTTCTTCTTCTTCGTCCTTCTCATGCGCAAAGGGGGAGAAGACCCATTTTATTTAATTGACTTCCTGGTCCATCGTTGCTTTTTCCGATCGGCCTAAATTCAGCTCCCCCTGGTCAGACCCAATCATGCTTATATTTTTCTCTTTTGGCCAAGAGCAAAAAGCCTTGTCATATAGAGAAGACCGCAGGTCGGTCAGGCTCTTCCGTTGAGCAACTTTGTTCTCTTTTTCCCTTCTTGTCCGACGGTTGCCCGTCGCCCGTCAGACAGGCATAGACAGACGGATGGACAGTCAGACGGACATACAGACAGGCAGGCAGGCAGACAGACAGGAGAATGCTCGGGTAGCCTTCGGAAACCCACACCAGACAAACGTTACATAGACCAGGCAGCCACCCACGGATCTTGTAAGATCTTGATCATGCCGGACCTCCGGGCTGCCCAAGTGGCATTGGAGCATGGACGCTGTTCTCTCCTCCTTTTCCCGGATAGAACATCCGTCGGTTTAGTTTCAATGTTTTACATAGTTATCAAAATCTGGCTTCGTTTCCCGTGGGAATTCGCAACCAACAAACAACGCTCGCGATGACAACCAACAGGAAACGCCACGTTATACCGGATGCATAATACTGGCTATTCCCCTCCTTCCTTTTCTCCATTGGAAACGACCTTGGAGAATAACTCAAAAGTCGGCTGTGTACATATGCGCACTTATCCGCCCCATAAGTACAGGTACGGATTTCGAATTCTGCAAGGCTCAAGACGACGATCCGTCTTTTCATACGCAATCAAAGGAGCCTTGCCGTTTCTGCAAATACGGAAGCACATCCTTCTTGCCCTCACCACTTGCCGTCCATGGTCCAGCCTGGTCTTGATGGCATTTCCCTACATACCAACCTAATAGCTTCTTTACTCTCCATCTGCCATATATAGAAGTCAAAGCCGGCCATGTATGGAACTTCCCACTGACACTAATGCACATACTAATGTGCTTTTTTTCTTTTCCACTTTAAACCTCGGAACTTCATGGAGGCAGATATACATACGATCTTTATGCAGCAGAGGCAGCTTTTGAAACCCGCATCCCCGTATCATGTTGGCCTGACACATGCCTTATGCAAAGGTGTCATGGTCCTCTAGCTGTCTCAGATGCTCCATGCACGCTCCCAGCAACGCTCGAAGCACGATCTAATTATAGGATGTTATGTCTTGTGTATACATTGGAAGGGTCTGTGTCACCGCTATATACATACACCCGTAGACTTCATCATATATTAACAATATATAAATTATAATATATTAATTTGCCCAGGAGATTATATGCGTACTCGGTAGATTATTCCGTAATTCTAACTTACCCAACGCCCTTTCCAGCCTTCTTGTTTCAATATCGAGCCGAAGTAGCTGCAGAGTAACGAAACAGGCAGCCCATCCATACATCCGATCCCTTTTCCAACACGGTCCAGCCCTCATATACTTACACCCGAGCAACAAATATATGAAATGTAACCAGCTTGTACGGAGTACTCCATATATTTACATAATATACTCCAGTTAAGATCAAGGATTGGAAATGACGATTACAGACAACGAAGACGTAACCTTTGCCCTTATTGGCTTCCACACGCCTGGTTTATTTAGACGGAGACGCCGTTGGAAAAAAAAACGTCCGCTATGGAGACCATCGGATGGCGTGCATGAACGCTCGATGCAAGAAAAGGAATGACGAGACAAAGAATTAGTTGTTAATTTATACCCAAAGGAGAGACATTTTTCGATGCTTGTGCAGATCATAAGAGATCTTCAATTATTGTTCAGTTCAGTTCTACGATAGTAGATCTAGTCGGCTGCTTGGCGGGCGATGGCAATCATTATCATTATTTCTCTCTACTAGAAGGAGGAAACTATTTATTCGAACGGTTGAAAGCGCCGCAAGTGATCGTTATTCATGCGTCTAACGTCCTTTTTTAACTAATCGTTTACCTTTCCCTTTTGGTATAAGGGCCGAGATCCTCACTAACCGCATGTCATTGAACTTAAAGGGGAAAAACATCAGAGAACAGCCAGGCAAATGAAACAGAAATCAAAGCAAAAAGGGCAAAGTAGTATTGGGCAACCCTAACCGAGAAGAAAGGGGCCACCGGGATGGTTTTCTGTGACGGGGAGGGTGGGGAGAGAGGATGCAATGGTATCCTCTCATGGAGGGAAACGAAAATGAAAATATCAAAATCCACCGGAGCTTCATATAGCCCCTTATCTATGCAAGACTATCAATACTTATCAAGTCTCATCGCCCGGTGACAGAGCGGCTCAATGAGTTCACTGGCCAGCCACCGAGTCACGTCATCGGCCATGTACATGTCTTCCACATCGAGAGTCTCTTCCAATGCAGATTGAATAAGTCTGCGGGCGTCCGTAAACCCGGAACGGTAGATCACCTTGTCCTCATTATCAAAGGAGACCGCCGTTGTAGTAGACTCAAGGATATCATCAAACTTGTCCTCGTCAACTAAGTTAGGGAAGAAGTTCTGAAGGAGCTGCGAGATCCTGTCGAGGTATTCGTTGACATATATCTTTGTATCAGGTTCTACTCCTTCAATCCCTTTTGAATCCTTTGGAAGGGTACGGGAGCGCAGTACGACCTTGCAGACATGGTTTGAGATGGTACGCAGACCATTGATGTATGCGGTTAAGAGCTGCTTATCTAGGTCAAGGTGGTCTCTGGAATGCTCGTCCGGATCGTCGTAATCCTCATATAGGGCGAAGCTTGCTGGATCTAGGGACTTTGCCTTTGCTGCCAGGGCAATTTGGATCTTCTCTTGAAGAGTCATTTCTGGTAGTGGTTCGGTAGGGGGTTCCATTTCCCAATCATATGTCTCGGTAGGGATCACAGTTTCGAGAGTGGGCGCAAAGTGAACTGAGCGCGAGAAAGATATAAAAGAGAATTCGTCTTCAAGGCCTAGATCTATAGAAAGTTAGCTGGGGGGCCTTCGATACTGCGCATATGAGTGAATCGAGCACTCACCTTCAACCACCTCGTCGCCGTTGACGGAACATTCATGGTCAGAATAAGAGGCATCAGACTCAAATCCTTCCTCGTCGTCATTCTCATCCTCATCCTCATTATCCTCGTTATCCTCCTCGCCCTCTTCATCTTCATCATCTTCGTCTTCATCATCATCATTATCTCCCCATTCATTTTCGTCATGGCATTTTTTAGCCACTGGGTGGTCAACATGTGCCTCAGCAGGGCTAGGCAGGGTAGATAGGTGGCTGATATCTACGCCACCTTGTTGTTCATCGACAGACCCAAAGGAGTCGGTATCAGTTCCATCACTAAATTCATCATCTCCATTTTCTCCATCCGACTGTAAGAGCTCCTGAGGATTCTGCTGAAAACGAAACTGTCCGTCCTCCCTTAACATAAGCTGGACCTCGGATTTCAAGTCGCTCGACAAAGTAGACACAGAGGAGTCCGAGAATGAAAGGGTAGATGATCGCACCATGGGAGTGGAAGTATATTCTGGTGCTATGATGGTTGTCACTGTATCCTTGGGTTCATCGGATAGATATGACCTTTCATAGGGGTCTATGGCACCCAAGCGCCGCCTTCCGCTTAGGTCGAGGTAATGAAACGCGGACATGATGGCACAGTATTGAGGACTGGCCTCTTCCTTGTATCCTGATCCGGTGTTGAAATTCACGATGGTTGAGTATGCGTTTGTCTGAGGACTGAGGCCGAAAAAGAGACCACAACGGAAGGACATCTCTTTGCAAATTCGAGAAAGATATCACTTTCTAATACCCTGACAAAAGAGAAGAAAAATTTTCTCTTTCAGACTGTCCTCCCAGCCCCCGCACTAGTTTACCAGAGTCGATGGGAAGTGAAGAATTTTTCTTTCTGTTGGCAACAGAGGTGGCTGGGTTTGTGGTGTTACTCAATACAGAGTTTGATATGGCAAAGAAGCGCCGAGGTGAGAGGGGGAAAGAGGAGTATCAAGTATCCTGGACGATCGAGACAAAGGTAGGTTGTTTGTATGATATAGTATTCGCGACGTGAAGTGATCGAAGGTGAGGAGTAATGTCAGAGTCGTTGTCCACAGCAAATACACACGGGGAGTCCCCCCAGATGGGTTCCTGGGGGAGAACCATGATGGGAAAAGGAGATGGCCTTAGTAGGCCATTCTGACAGCGCGAAAGAAGAATATGCTAAACAAGGATAAATCACTATAACTTATTATCTTCACTTCCACCGACTGATGACTTCTCCTTGAATATGGTCTTCAACAACCTCGATGAAGTGGAAAAACAAGCCAACTACTTTGAAGATCGGATGCTGGCCTCTGGACATTCCTGCTTTGTCTAAAGTGCGCGAGATCGAGTTTCTTCTTCCAGCAACAAGGGATACCGCTGGAAAACAGAGGGATATTGGGTTGTATTTTAATCTGAATATCGTTCTTGAGGCCTGAGAGCATTTGGGTATGAAGGTATGAGGTTGGGATAGCTGGATCAGAAGGACGGAGGAGTTCGCACGTGAGTTTGCTTCAACCCGACTCCCAGAGCGTCAAAGGAGCAGGTAAAAGGACCTGGCTGAGAGATCAAAGCAGAAGAGACGCCGTCGTTCTCGACAGCTATTTACTATAGGACGTTTTTGAGGGGATGTCGTTGCTGGTGGACGTTAGGTGGGCATCGCAGGTTTTCCTTGTGACGTTCGTTCCCTTAAAACTTGGGAGGGAAGAAAAAAGTGAGGTTCGGCTGTGTCCGGGGGGCGTTGACTTGCTGACAAAACAGTGGATGGTACCCCGGTACTTCCAGCCCCGCGTGGATCGCACCAGAAACACAAGTACCTCGACACCAACCAGGGTTTTCCATGGCTTTTTGCATCACAATATTTGGCTTGCTTTCGACGTGCGGGCGGTAGGATGGCTAGTTTCTATACAAGAGTGTGATGTGTATAGGATATCTACATATCTTCTTACAGAGAAGTATCGGACTCCGCCAGCATGCAGAAAATGTACGCAAACCTCCCAGTATCATACAGGCATCGACTTCACCTTCAACTTCAACCATCGATTGATCCCCCTCTCTCGTGTCATATTCAGCAAGCCTTTCGTGTCATCTTTCAAGTTTTTTTTCCTCTTTTCTACTTCTTCAGCCAGGGGAAACGCCCAAAAAAGGCCCCTTGAAAATGCTCCGTCATACTGCGTCATAGCAAGGATCTCCCACTCTCGCCGCATGTTAACTATTGGCTGGTTTATATTTATGGTTGTGAAGTTCTTCTCCACGGATATTTCCTATATAAGCACCGATATTTTGATAGAAAGACATAACGAGTCTACGGAATCCTCCCCGTATCCGTGTCGTGCAACCCGTCCAGCGTGCCAACAGTGTTCTGGAATACAATATCACCACGCCTGATCACTTCGTCGTCCCCTGGAGGTTGGATGGCGCAGCCCAGAAGGCACAATAAGGCACACTCGGGTAAGTGGTACTTGAAAAAAAAAAAAATTCATTCTCTATATTATTATTATTACCTGTGAGAAAGGCCTACGGAGAGTGTGATACATAGTCAGCCGGTTATCCCCCCTCGACTTAAGTACTCCTGTTAAACAAAGGGATTACGATAGAGTTCAGTGTCAACTCTGGTAATATTAAAATTATTTAGGCTGGGCCGCTTTGTTTGGTCATCGAACGAGAGGCCGTCTGCACCCCCAGGCGGATAAGGGGAGAAGGAAAGCAGAGAAAAAAGCCCATGGGAGGGTCAAATCTTCAACCCACTCATTGTTCTAGGCGGCTCATGAGAGTTAAGATGCATTACATGGACACTCCCATGCGCCATGTACCCCTTGTACTTTGGGGACCATAGCCAGAGACACGGAGTACTAGTGACTGCATCTCCTACCAGTGGAATCAAATGCCCTGATGTCTGGCCAAGGAGCTAAAAGAGAAGCACAGAAGATGAATAACGAATCAATATCGAACACCTCCATCAAGGACGTCGCTGGCGACCCTATCAATGTTACTCTTATTGTCCCAGCACCATGGGCCTTTCCTCGTCGCTTACATAGTAGGGGTGGGTGGAACTGTATGAGACGAGAGTTCATTTCTCGAATTGAAGCACCAAATATGGACATTGTAATGCACCTCCCAGCAAACCACAGTTCCGCTAGAAAAACCACACCGCAGGCACCGATCGATGTGGTGACAGGGTGGTTGACCGCTAGGCAGCTGCACGAGCAGTATCAACCTAAGCCATGGTACACACGATCTACCTGTTACTGCACCAAGCCCTTCTGCTGTACTCTCATCGGGCATTTAGCACCGAACTTACCATCTGTTTCTTTTTTTATCTCTGGACAGACCAGTTCTTGTTTTATGATAATAACCATGAGCTTGGTTTATTATCTTTTTTATCACAAGATATATTACTTTGCAACTTGAAAGAAGGGGAGAACCCCCCATCTTCCCAGCCGTGGAAGCTTATGTCTATTTATTTCTCCTTTTATTATTATTATTTTTTATTTTTAATCATCTGCCCCCAAGAGCCTCGAAGACTGTGCGGTCTTTGTCTTCTATACCAACTTTAAAGTGTTGTTCTTCCCTTTGTTCCCGCAAAAATCCACATGGAATAGCTCAACGGCCCTCCATGGGATGTTCCGTTTCAATCTGTGTGGCCCTGTGTTTCTTCGTCCAGTATCCCTCTGTGTCTAGGAACACCCGTGGACTATTATCTGTACCTTTTTTTTTAATTTCTTTTTTTGTTTTATATACCTGGGGTTGCTCCCCTGGTATCCATCTGCCGCCAGGCATATATACCTCAATTCCAGGAGAAGCGGCAAGAGGGAGATGGTATGGTGTTGGGCTGCTTGCTCATGGCCATCTTTCCACACCAGTGACCGCAGCTGAGCTATTATAAGATCTAAAAGGCGGCATTAGACCCTGCATCAAACCTTTCTACTTCACCATCTGCCTTGTTTCACTCAGAATAGAAACAATACTTGACATCCCACTGGTTAAGCCCCGACATAAAGCTGCGAGATAGACAGACGGAGAGATAGAGAAAGACCTTCCTTTATCACTCACGCAGGAGTTGGCTTTACCCATACCACCACCACACCCCCCCTCTCTCTCGACAGCCGTTTTGCAAGTTCTAAATATTGCTTCCCACGACTTCTCTCCAGCCTGTTGCAGGACCTGCAGGACCATCCACCGAGGAAAATATCCGCTTCACCCAATCGGAAAAATATATTTCTCTACGATGGCCTTATTCAGGCACATGGGATCGAGGACGCAAGCGGAAGACAAAGCCCATAGTTTCCCAGGTCCGATAGATGATTCGTTCCGTAACACATTGGGTCACCATGGTCAGATGCAGTCTCCTAGTTGCACTGCCGACAAAGGCACCGCATTTTCATATGCTGTTGATGGTGATATCCCCTTTCATGCAGGTCTATCCTTGATGAGGAGTGTTGATCTACCTACCCGGCGCTGGACTGCTGATGACAACCTTTCATCTCTTCATTCGGAACTAGCCCTAAACTCCGACACAACACAGTATCACCACACCTTTGACCACACGAGCAGACTATTAACAGTAGGAGGCCATTTTGATGTCGATTCCGGGGTTCTGTTTCAGGATCCAAAGGGGCAGCTTATTGAACGTTCCTCGCGGCCCACTGCCGGCAACTGGATGGAACAACAGCAAGTGTACAAGTACAACACGCCGTCTGCAACAAGAGAACCCCGCCACCATAAATCAAATGAGCCTACCCCGTTGATGAGAAAGGGAGATATATTCTCAGACCATACAACTATCTCGCCTTCTTCCTCACCTTCTCCCGGTACCATGGCTTATCAAGATAACTGGTTTCAACAGCGCCTGGAGAGCTATGACCTTCAACAGATGGTTCAATCCCCGGACTGTCTAGAATCAACCACTGCTTCCTATTCGCAGCAGTTCCATGATAGGCGTGAAAGCCTGTCGCATCTATCCACCGCGAGCAGAGAGTCCAATCGTTCATCCCTTGACAGTACCACACCCATTTCAACACCAAGATATAGCTCGACTGTAATGAGCCACCAGGCTCATAGCCCATCCGTACCAACTACTAACGACAGCTCTGAGGCACCCTGCCAGCAGTATCAGGGTCAATCAGCTATGCCACCGGTATCGAATCATACACCACCGCCTCCACCACCCCCACCGCAGCAAATCCTCCGTTCTCAGCCTTGCGACGTTCCACCTGGGAACTCATGGCAGCCAGAGTCCATAGGGGTCTCTATTTTCCAGTGTTCCCAGCCCAATATCCCGCCTCATGAATCAGAGAATTGGTGGGCAGACACGCCTCCGGCCATCTCTAACAGAAGCTTGCAACCACCGTTCCCCCATGCGAGTTACTCCTCAGCGGTGACATCTATGCCATACCGCAACCAACACCATCGGTTTACTCACATACCAGAGTCCGTTCAGAATTCTGGTCTGATGATAGGCATGGATGCATCTAGTTCTGAACTTAACACTTCTATTCAGGAGCCATCCATGCCAACACCCCAGCTACCTAGGCCCAAAGTAGCATTAACTCCAGGCTACTCGCCTCTTCCCTATATTCCATCACAGCATCAACGGCCTCATCATCCCCCACCCATCCAGACCACCCACACATCCATTCCAATAGCCCATTCAGCGCCAACTATATCTGCTGCTCCTCGCTCAGCTCCCGTATTCAGCCGAAGACTCCCTCCAGGGCACATCTCGCAGCAGTCGCCCAAGTCCAGATACCACGGCCCACCACACCAAAGGCGTGGACAACATGCTCGCAAAGCAGCCAGCTTCTCCGGCCAGGCAACGAAATGCTCCAAACCAAATTCATCCAACAACTCTACCCACAACAGTATTAACAGCGGCTATAATAATGTCATTAACAAAGCTGCTAAGAACGTTTCCTTCGTTAACTTTACGCCAGAAGATAGCCACAAGCTGCTAACAGGGGTAGCTCCCAGCGGAAGCTCCAAGACCAAAGCAAGGCGTGAGCAAGAAGCCCGTGACAAGAGAAGAAAGCTATCCGAGGCTGCATTGCTCGCTGTTCGACGAGCAGGCGGCGACGTTGAAGCTTTAGAAGCTGTGTTCTGCTAAATATGTTATAATGTGCATTTTGGAGTTTGCTTCTTCTCTTTTGACCCATTAACATTCTCATGTATATAGGAACCAGTTCTAATACTACTTCTGGCAAACACAGGCGTCCTGATGATTTTTATGTATCTCCTTCTCTTTTTTATTTTCTGGGCTTCAACATTACACGATGGCTTTTCTTCGGGGTGGCTCACTGTTGTACTTCAGGCATCTTTGCCCTGAACTGGAATGAGTTAAAACTAGATTCCATAATAGCATTTAAATGAATGTTACAACCTTTAGTAAATTACGTGGCGTTGTCTAAAGATGATATTATTCCGTAAATCAGGTTGCAGCACAGTAATATCTTTCATACTAGAGCCTTATTCTCCCGCTCGGCCATCAAATAGAAGAGACACAGCTCACTGAACATTAGGAGAATAGAGACATGTCTCTTATCAGTGCAGGGTTGATTGTTCCTATCTATAGACACCCCTTTTCAAACGCAAAGCCTCATGTTTTGCACCTTTGATAGATATTTAACTATTTGATGCATAGCGGTGAAATTTCAAATCTCCCTAGATACTGTACTTGATATGTTTCAGAATGGATGTAACTGAAGCTTCTTGGATGCTCCCTTCAAACAAATGCATTGCCGCCTGCGTGTCAAACTTTCTCTATGTATACTCACATAACACCTCATCCCTTGATATGTATACGGGTGGAGACAAGAGCATAGAGGTAAACTCGCATGCATCCGTCAGGGGCAGCAGAAGTCCTTTGATAGATTGAAGGTGTAAAAATAAATACCTGAGAAAAGAGGATATAGCCTCCACTGAGTCAAAGATAGCTAGCAATAATAAAATACCCCCCCCACCCTAGATATATATTTATTTATAGACAAGCCCTATGATGAGACAATGGGAACTGGGATAAATGCAAAAAGATTGTTGAATATTTCATTCAGGAGATGCTATGAGCTCCTGGATGCAAAGACAACCGAAACCAGACCTCTTTTCACTCCGGAAATATTAGACGGATAGTGCGAAGTATAGCAAAAGAAGTTAAAAGCGCGGGAGGGAAAAAAATATACATATGTTACAAGATGTAGGGAGTAAATGGTGAGTTTCAGGGGTATAATTGCATTGAAGACCCATCGAGGGATGGTAGTCAGTGCATGCAGCTGCGGCCATCGTCCCTTTTCACCGCAGATACTGCTGCAAGCACAAGGCCAGTGCTGTGCGATCAAAGGAGCCCGGTTTATCTCTTCGAGACATTAGGATTCCACGACTCAGGCTGCCAGTTCTCACTTGGTCCACCTGTTGCCCTATCCCATGGATTCTTCATTCTCTGGCTGCTCTTTGCATCAGAATGCTGTTCTTGCAACACTTCCGCCATTTCAGCGTTTTCATTCGGTCTAGTAGCGTGGTAGGATGACTCGTGTGATTGTAGCGCGGGAGCAGGTTGCTGTGCTGGTTTGTCGAGGAATGACGGCTTACTTGCCCATCTTTCGTCCGCACGCTGGGCTAGATATTTCATCCTTTCTTGCCGTAGGAGTTCATTCCGTTGTTCTTCAATGGTCGGTGGTTCAGGTCGAACGTATCGAAGCCACTGATGCCATTGTGCTGTCCATTCGTTGACTCGTCAGCCCTTCTCATCCACAGAGTCCGTCAACGCCAGACTTACGCGACACTTTCACGTCGGCATAGTGTATCTTTGGACTGGCCTTCACAATGCGCCGAAAACGTCCAGGTTTAAGGGAATCTTTGAATTCCCAGTATGTGTTGCCCGCAAGATCATTCCCTATTGCTGTTGTCAGTCTTCTTTTTTTGAAGCTGAAGAAGGGCCGCGTACCAACGAGGAACATCTTCCTCCAGGGAAGCTTAAGGCTCTTCCATTTGAACCAGAGACTGTTGATCGGACTCATATCTGGATGCTATACTACTCCATATACCGCGCGTCACCGTCTCATGGCTGTTTAATTTGCTTGTTAAACAGTTAAAGATTGTGGCTGAGGAAAAAAGTTATGTGGCGCACCGTTTAAGCCTTAGTTGGGTGGCATCTAGATAAGTCAACTAATACTCCGTGCAAGGAAGTACGTCACTGTCAAAACTCCTCGCTCTACACAACCAACGCTGTAGGAGTATTCATCTTTTCTTAGGCCTCTGCCACTGGAAACAATCCCATCATTTCTCTATCGTCGAGAGATCCAGGCGATGACAGCGGTCTGCTGGCCTACCCCCCACTGAGATATAGACCGCGGGCATCCCACTATTCGACTCTTCCAAGACCAACCCATTGAATCGCGGCAACGATGGCATCAGTCTCATCACTAGACAAGGATTTGCGCAACATGCGGCTATCTAAATACACTCCTCAGGCAGCTAATGAAGTCCGAGACTGGATTGAAGAAACACTACGGGAGAAGCTACGGAATGGTGACCTCCTAGAGGCACTGCGCGATGGAGTAGCATTATGCAGGTAACTGAGTCAAGCCTCTTATTTTACATATAGAGTAACTAACTACGAGCTTGATAGACTGGTAAACCTCGCGGTAGGACCTCCAGGCGTAAAGTACAAACAGTCAAGCATGCCGTTCGTCCAGATGGAAAATATATCCCATTTCCTGCACGCTTGCCAGAAGGCTCCTCTCAACCTACCACCTCACGATGTCTTCCTTACGGTTGATCTTTACGAGGCAAAGGACCCTGCTCAAGTCTTACAGTGCCTGGGAGCGTTCAGTCGCAGGGCATATGCCCTCCAGCCCAGCAAGTTTCCGGGGGCCATCGGGAAAAGTAAGAATGGCACGTTGAGCCCTCAAATGAGCGGATCCAGCCAGGGTGGGCGCTTTGGTGCGCCATACTCTCGACCTCGCGGGCAAAGCAATGTCAGCGATCTAGGACGAACAAGTCCCACAATGGCATCCAGCAGAAGCGGTGCAGCATCCCCACGGACAAAAACCAGCGCATGGAGTAACAAGACAGATGAAGCAACCACGGCTCCCGCTTGGAACATTCACCAGTATGGATATATAGGAGGTGCAAGCCAAGGAAGCCTTGGTGTAACATTCGGCGCGCGACGGCAAATTACCACTCCTGGTCCATCAGTACCCAGTCTTGCAGAGAAAGAGAAACGACGACGGGAGGAAGAGGAGCAGACTAGGCTACAGACAGAGGAAGCAGAGCGCCAACGATCAAACCGAGACGCAGAAGAAGAACGCGCAAAAGCGGAAGAAAAATTACGCTGGGAAGCGGAAGAAAGGAAGTTAAGAGAAAATGAACGGCAGCAGGTTGAAGACGAGAAGAGACGGTGGGAAGAAGAACAACGCCAGTGGGAGCAGGAGGAAGCCCGTCAACAGCAAGAAGAAAGAGAGCTGGAAGAAAGACTGGAAAAGGAGAGGCTTAGTAAGCGAGAGACTGCGGACGCCAGGTTGAACGGACAATTCCTAAGTCAATATCAAACTTCTCAAAGGCCTTCGCGAGGCGTGACATCTCCATTACATGAACAAAAGGCTGCTACATCTAGTGAAAGTGAACGTATCAAGGCATTGGAGCTTGAGCTTGAGAAGGCCAAAGAAAGAGAAAGACAGTATGAGCGTGAACGTCAAGAACTTGCTACTCTACGCGGATCTCCTCAGCCAGATGCCCAACCCCAAGCTCGTTCACCACATCCAGATGGCAACAAACCAATCCATACTCCACAGAAGCCAAGCTATGACTTAGCATCTCAAGAACAAGAGCGTCGGTTGCTGCGAGGTGAATGGAACGTACGCAACAAGGACAAATCGCCTGCAAGCCCGCCTCCGTCACTACCGCCTCGAGATCTTCCCACTCCGCCTGCAATGCCACCTAGGAACACAAATCACCCTACTTCACCTCGCCCTCTACCAGATCCCGCCAACTACGTTAACACAAACCGCACTGATCGATTTTTGCAGGATAACCCTGCCCCTGTTACAAAGAAGCCAGTCTCATACCGGCCACCAGAGTTTTCGTCCACATCTGAAAGAGATGAGGAAGATAGGCGGCGAGTAGAGTCTACGCAGAAGACTCGAGCTGGTGGATGGGCGTCGAAGTCACTACTTGAAAGGGAAATGGAACGAGAGCGTGAACGACAACGTGAGTGGGAAGAGAATCAGAAGCAGACTCAGAATGCAGTCAAGAAGGGCGTCAAGACTGCTGGCACTGGGCCAGGGGAAGGAGGATGGGATGTACATCAGTATGGATATCTTGGGGGGGATAACCAGAATAATGCAGGGCCAGGAATCGGGTTTGGTGCACGACGACAAATTATCGGACCACGCCCGCCGCCATAGATAGTGTGGTCTGCTAAGTTATGTAAGATTGGAAAGGAGGAACCATTGCCTGTGTTTGTAATGGTTTCTACTAAAACGATTTAACGGATTTCTTTGGTATTACTGTCTATATCTATTTAGCCCTCTTAGAACATTTCTAATTGATATTACTTCCTTATAATGATCTCTAGTAACTTGACTATACATACTTGAGGACCTGAAGTCTCTCACTCCACAATTGCGAGAAAATGCTTGCCTGTCATAATAAAGCCATCTCCCTTTCGTAGACAAGCATAATTCTTTAGAGCAAGGTACATATCATGGCTCAATAACAATGTATTCGGGAGGTGGCTCCTTTGGTATGAGAGAGTTGACAAAATAGACCATTCTATCTCCACTCTCTATGAGCCATACCAATCCAAATTCCTCCGTCAACTTCTTATTCTGGCCTCTTTTAATGTCGTTCCGAGCCTTTTTTGATCGAGCCTCAATGCCTTTTGCAACAGCGTCTGTTAGCCTGGGTCTGGCAAAAATCAACCCATTGGCTGCAAGAAGGCGAATTAGAGATTCAAGCAGGAGCGAGACTCTCGCGTTATCAATAACGCTCTGTGTCTTTGCAATGAAGGGAAGGAAACATCTCTCAAGCTTTCCTTGGCTTAGATAGTTTTCATTCGATGCAGGGGCGGCATTCTCTAGAATACTAAACAGTAGCATTTCGCAAAGAGTGGTCTGGCAGGCGGGAGGGAAATGGGTGAGCACAGATGGGGAGACGAGTAGTTGGAAAGTAGGGAGTGGAAGGTGTCGGATAAATTCAACATAGAATGAGTATAGTTTATCCAGCGATATGTAATGCTCCGGTATAGCGTCTGAAACACAAGAGAGAAGGTGTAGGAACCGTTGGCGGATAGTGAGAGACTGTAAGTTGCCCAAATGGTCTAATCTGTCGTACTGAGCACTAATCGGGCCGTCGTCCTCATGCTCGGAAGGAAGTTCATCTTGCCCGGCTCGTTTCTTTGTAGCCCTCCGCTGACGTTTTACTCTGGATTCAACCATATCAGGGCCACCGGAGGTTTTGTGGATAGAGTCATCTTCCTCGTCCTCCTCGAAATCAGGGTTGTCAAGGTAGTCTCCATAGATATCCTCGTCGATATTAATATCTCCTTTTCTTCTTGAAGAAGTCTGAGCGTTATCCTTTGTGAACTCTCGTAATTCGTTACGGAAAATTTCTCTGAATTCACTAGTTGATGATTGGGAACCATCGGCAAAAACGGCCCTTAAAATTCTCCTGTCACGCCCTGTGTAGCTCGAAGTTGTGGATATATAGCTGAATATCAGGCTCTCCGTGAGGACCGAACAGTCCCGCTTCGATGTTGTGTCGGTAACAGGGGTAGCTTTAAACTGATTCTCCCTCTCCTTCCAGTCATCCTCCAGGAGATCGCACATGAACTGCAAAAAGAGGTGCCATCGGGCCCATCGCTTGGGGTGCAGTATAGAGCAGTTAAGAGCCCACCCTACAACATGCCAAAAGTCTTCCGCTCGCGACCAGAGGGAGTTTCCTTGCGCAATATCCAAATTCAATGGTTCAACGTGTGCATGACTAGTACCACTCCAATTCGATTCGCCATCTGTTGCATACCGGCCCTCATTTCGCGAATTGGCAAAGCGATCGAAGATAAACGCATCCCTAAACTGGCCGCCAATGGGCCCTGCAACCTTATTGACTAGTTTTAGTAAATGTAGAGCTGAATTGGATGCATTTAGGTACTCTTCTGACTTGGATCGGGTGGTGGTAGTTGGATGTACGGTCAACGTTGCTGCTAAGGCGAGGTATTGCGCCGGCGGGGTAAACACATTCCCGGAAGCAGTAGAGCTAGAGGACACGATTCTTGATAAGAGACTGAGGGCTTGTGAATCTGTAGGTAGTAAATATAGCAAGAATTAGCTACAGGTGAATTTCTAGATGCAGGTGTATCGGCGATAGTGTCTGCGCAGGGCGGGGCATACAAAGTCTTTCCTCTAGATAGGCAGTGCAGTAATGGCGAAGTTCAGACGGCAGAGCCTTCACCGGGTGATATGTAGGCTCTGAAGCCATGGAGGACAGTAGCCAGTCCCCTTGTGCTGCTTCGTGTCTTCGTTGAAGCTCTGGCGGATCGGAAACATCAAGAAAACTTCCAAGGATCTCCGCCCAGATGATTTTGCAGCGGGAGCTAAACCCAAACCGTCCAGCCTCTTCCTTACATACAACGTCAACTTCAACGTCAACTTCAGGACGAATGTTCGGATGCAGTCTTACATTGATTCTCTATCTCTTATGCATAATTATGCTTGGATTCTGTTTGGTATGCTACTAGGAGCAGTTGCCCTGGTCAACTGCACTGTCCTCGGCATATCTAGGACACAGTACGAAGTACCTGGAACATTGCTATAAGAGTACTACAACGGTCAATGTCTCGCCGAGTACTATCTATACTTAGCATGGAGCCATTGCCAAACTGCTACGGAGTAGCCCTTAATCTTCCCATTTATTTTGTATGGACTATACCATACTCCAACACTGGAAACCCTCTAGGCACTGTCTCGCCTGGGAAATAGGCTTCACACACTCAATCAAGGGAAAGGGCTATATCAGCAAAATTTTGTGGCACTGGTGAAGTCAGTTTCAACATTGACCGGTACTACAAGCATTTTCAACGAGTGAGACATATGGTTGTACCATAAGCGGCAAATATCAGCGCCACAAAAGGACATAGAAGGCACAAAGTTAGATGCCTCACCCAAACTGTGAACGAAAACTGTAGCCACGATCGATTAAAGGGAGCACTATCTGTTTGGGAACCCCAACTTGCTATTGCTCGTGATTCAACAATTCCACTGAATAGAAATTTGGTCTTATATTATTTTTTTTTTGGCAAAAGGAATATCATAATCTGGATGCGACTATTGAGGCGAAACGTGACACTAATTTTGAACTCGACTTAGTCTCCCGACGGAGATATTCATCTGTGCTTCTCGGATATCCAGGCAACCATCCTGGCTAGACGGCTCGGCACTATATCGTACATGGATAACGCATGTCAGGGGTACTGTCAACACATGCAAAAGCCGCTTCCCAGGTTGTCACTCTATATTTAACTATATATTCCGTTCCCCATAGGTACGCTCTCCCCTATTCTCAAACATTCGCTGCAAGTATCATAATTGTAAGTTGTGTTTCTCTTTCTTGCCAAGCTGGATCTTTATCACATGCGAAGACGATCATCCAGCCAGAGTACATGGTGTACGTAAGTCTGTTTTGTTTATCACAGGTTTGTGGACCTTTTCTAATACATTGTAACAGTGATGAATTAATTAGGTAGCTAAGCATATCTGTACAGACTAATGCTATGATGAAAGCTCTCCGTGAAAAGCAATAGTAAAACAAAAGCCCAAATTACGCCAGGAATACGGCCGTTCTCTGGGGAAAGAAAAGAAAATTCGGTGCAAGTAACTTCAAAAATTGATTCTAAATTGATCCTACAAGGCCCCCAAACTACGTTGTTCCTCCTTAATCTTCCGGGTCATCCGCCAACCATCCTATTCGCATGCGATGTGACTGTATCTTATGGTTAGATCCTATAACAGGACGGGCGCAGACATAGGAATTGACTTACTATGGGTAGCTTTGGGATGACAACTCCGAGAACAGCTAAGAAGTTGATAATGAAATATGTCAAGTCATAATGTGTGTAATGCGTACTCAGGAGAAAGAGGATGATCGGGACGCTTAAAAGGAATTTCTTGGCCGGGGTATATTGGTCGCCATTGTCGATTTGCTCCCACATGTTGAGATTATCATAGGCTCCACCGTTGAATTCAAAAGGCACCCCTCTCACCCAGTGGAACATGAGAAACGAGCCGAACATGTAGGATATGTTGGTGAGCGTCCATGAGGTCTCTTGGGATACGCCCGGTATGATATCGTAAAATATCTTTAACGCTATGATCAAGACAAAGTGGATGGTCCAGGCACCTAATAATCATATTGTAAGCGACTTCCATATCAAAACGACAGAGGTAAAGAGTGACACTGGTGCGAAGCCCTCTCACCTTTTGCATTAACCCAATTCGCATTCAGGTTTGGTAGAGCAGCCTGGTCATTTGTATGTTCTATAGATTCTGGGGGTTCCTGGTATATGATACTGCTGGACCTCCTTCTCCGTCCTGTCCTGACCTGACTCATCCCCGTGTCTGGTGCTAGATGAGATGAGGCTTGCGTTTGCCGTGGCTCCAGCGTGGATGAGAAGGAGGTTCTCGGGACGATAAGAGGAGACAGTTTGGCGGTATTGAAAGCTAGTAGCTATAGCCGGTTTTCAGCACAGGGAGGAAGAAAAAGATAAAGACCGCAGCCTATTTTCCCGTATTATATCGACTTATCGAAAGCCTTTTTGAGCTGCTCACTGGCTATAGGGGGGTTGAGGCCACGAAAAGCTATCAGGCGGGGAAGACGAGAGACGTATCCGAAGGATGACAGGGAATAAGAGCGTGTTGCAGGCCAAACAGGCGAGTGGCTCGTAGTTTATAGGAGGGATAGGTTGGGAGAGCAGATGGTGAGGTAGGATTAATATCAGACAGAGAAGATATAGGTAAGAAGGGATGGAAAAAGGATGACGGCCAGACTGAGCCAGAGCAGGCCGACCTTGAATTTATATGCAAGCTAAAACGATAATCCCGGCAGTGCTTTAAGATGTTATGCGACTTGTCGTTTGGAATTCAAAGTTGCTGGTTGGTTTCTTCTTTCTCCTTGTTGGTTTCTTCGAAGCTTCCGAGACATTTGGAGTTGCTGACTAACACGTCACAGAACGTCGGCTCTTTTTTTATTATTTATTTCGACTTCTCAGACAAAAAACAACGAAAGCCCAACGACGACACAAAGGACTCTTCCACAACGCCTGAACAGGTAAGCTGACCGCTGCATCTACCCGGATAAGCCAATTGAATCTAACTCTATTTTAGGGAAAAAAGGAAGGACTAGCCTGAGATGTCAGGCGTCGCGGAAGATGCAGCTTGCGACTCGCGTACCGCGTCTGTTGGCCTTGCGCCGGCCAAAGGAGTCCAGCGGCCCATCTCGCAGGCTGGAGACGCCGGAAAGCAGGCCTCTGCCAACTGGAATAATGTGCGGAAGGGGAAAGTGCGCACCGTGCTTCGACGCCCTGCACCGAAGTCCGTGAATTCGTTTAACAAGGTGAATGGGCAATACTGGCGTAGCGGAAGTGCTTCAGAAGATGAATCGGAAGCTGGTGCTCAGGAAGAGGGCGCCAATAGCCTCGCAAAGGATGGCAGTGATATCGACAGCGAAAGTTCTACGGAAGACACAACTGATCCCTCGGATATTGATGAAAACGATAGCTCCATCTTGTTGAATATGGACCAGCCGAGCACAGAAAATGCGCAGCTAGAATCACAGGTGGAACCACAGCCTGTGTGCATCAATCAGGAGAATGTTGATATGACATCTGTAGCTGAAGTCGTGGAGGAACAAGGAGCATTACTAGAGACGGTACCGCCCGTTTCTAACGATGATAATATAGATGCAGCTGCGCAGAAAGCCTTTAGGTCAAAATACAGCATTACCCCACGGACTATTGCGGAATTGGAGACGGACGATTTTAAAAAGCAGTCTAGGTACATTCTCTACAACTGTACTAGCAACCCTGACCCCACGACCGTTGTTAGATGTACAGACTGTTTCAAAGAAGGCCATTTATCGGATATCTGCCCCAGTAAAAAGGTAAATATCATCATTCAACAGCTACCTGTCTGTGTGCCCTAACTCCTACAAATATAGTGCGAACATTGCGGTGCATGGGAGGCCCATGAATCTAGGTTCTGCCCTACCTGGCGGCGGTGCCAGAGATGCAGAGAACGAGGGCATGACAAAAACTCATGCTCAGCACCTCTTCAGGGGTCAGCTGCAGAAGTCCCTTGCGACCTATGTGGCTCAGACCGACATATCGAGTCCCAGTGTGACTTGATGTGGAAGCTACCGCATGCCATGCACACTTCTGGGAAACTGTTCATTTCCATATCTTGTGCCAAGTGCACAAGCTCCCAGCATCTAATCGGGGACTGTCCATCTTCCAATTGCCCATCGTACTCGACGTCCTGGAGCTTAAAGACATTTGATCCTTCTATCGTCTCCAACATTAATATCTTGCCAGCCGGCGTATCGAGCGACAAAACCAATGGTTCCGTCCCCCAATTAAAAATAAAGGGACGTGCGCAACGTGATCCAACTCCAGAAGAAGATGAATTCCATATTAGATCACGCCCCTATCCACCTCCAGCCTCTCGTTCGAATATCCGATTTGCTGATGGACTAGGCCGTGGGCGGAACCTGGGTCCAAATCAAGACCGCTCCAATGATAGTGGCAGTGATCGCTACACCCCTCAGGATTCTCGTCGCGATTATCGTGAACGTGATCATTATTTTGGTTCCCGCTCTCGTCCACGTTCTCGCTCTCCAGAACCACGGTATTCCGGAAACCAGTATAGACCACCTCCACCGCCTAATTGCGGAAGAGGGCCACCACCTCCATCTTCCCGTAACTTAGGAAGAGACCGAAACCGAGACCGAGGAAGAGGAAGCGGTGGTGGTGGCCATCGTGGTGGAAAAGACTCTTCTAGGCCTTTTCCAAGTCGAAGTAAAAGGAAGGGTAATCGAAATCCCTGAAAACACGACATTTGTCAGAATCCCCGAATGTCAGATGTTTAGAGTCTTTGGACACCTATCTTACCCTCTGTCAGCTCGCCAGGCTGCACCCTAGAAGGGTTGTACAACAGTGAAGTTCGCTGGTCTCTCATACTTGAAGTGAGTCAGCCGGCCAGGTTTACACCATGCACCATTACAGCAACTACCCGTACTTACTTAGCAACGTTGCCAGCTTTGCAAGACTACCTTGTCATGAGTCTTAGCGGTGCTACGACATGTATTCGATGGATTCTTGTAAATACCCAGCACCCCCAATGCCATGAATACGGCTGGAACTTGGATGCCAGCAGAGATACTACCGGTATCCACCCAACATCTCCGGAGATGGCGCCGGACGAGGCACCTGGATTCGCTGCACATGAGACAGAACCGTCCATTATCGTGGTTTCTTGTCAACTCCAGCGTTGGCCGTCAATCGTCCATCTACGCAGTGACACGACGTTAACTATGCTGGATATTTAGAATGTGAAAGCGTCACCATTAACATTCGAAAGGGCCCACTATCAATTATCTACCTGAGAGCCCTCTTCTGGTTGCAATAGAATGCAAATCTCATTGTCTCTACATATAATCATTCGTCATTCGTAGTTCTTCTCTGTAAATCTAGCATCTATGTACGTTGAAGTTTGCTTCATGGTAAGAGTTAAGATCTTTCTCTAACTCCACGGAACCCGTTCTCCAGTATACTGATCAAATCGTCCAGACGCTCGATGCAAAGATCAGTATGTTCATGGTCCTTGAGATCCTGGTTTCGTACATTTAGGAGCAACACAGTCGCCGCTCCGGCTTTGTGTCCAGCCGTCATATCATCCAAGCTATCACCAACCTACCAGGTAGCAGTCAGTTAGGTTATCAGGTTCCCAAAAAGGAGTGATAAAGCCCGTACCATGATCAAATCACTAGCATCCTCGAGGTTCCATGCGCGTGCAATATGCAGTATCCCAGCCGGGTCAGGCTTGGGCATTATATTCGGCGTATCGCGAGTCACAATTGGTGCAAAGACATGAGTAGCCAGATGAGACTTGATAAGATGGTTTACCGGGCCACTTCAAGCATCCAAAGAGGTTAGTAGCTGAATAAGGCTGTAGTCTGTAACCAGGCCAGTTATGCGAAGAGCGGACGACGTACTCAAAATTGCGTGTACACAACGCCCTCTTGACACCCTTAGAATTGAGATAGTCCATGAGCTCGACGAGCCCTGGCTGAGGTACTTGTTTTACCATCGCCTTGCGCTCGATTTCTCGGACAATCGCGATGGCATCTGTCCTCTCCTTGAAGTTTGGGAGGCCTCGGATATGATGAATTATATCAACCCCTTTCTCTATGCCGAGGGCATCCCTAGAGCAAAGTAGGTCAGACATGAGCTTGAATGGAGCCTTTGAGGTATCTTCCAGAGCCACGAGCCATCTTACCGCATCTCTTGAAACATATAATGCTGTGGCAGGCTGTTTTCTCAATTTCAGTTAGCTTGTCTGTACACCAGCAGGCACTGCCTATCATGAAGAGGTAAATGATATGCTTGCCATAGTGTCCCGTCAACATCAAACACGATGCCCTTCAGTGTGGGTACATCGCCTCCATCGGTGTCTAACGGCGCGAATCTGCGCTGTGCCATTGTTACAGATGACAGTATCGACGTTGCAGCCGTGGACAGTAAACGTGGCGTATAACCGGATGGCCTCTTGAGAAACATGAGAGTCTCCGGCTCTGTAGCTGAACTTGCGCCTTTTGAATTTTGATAGTTGACCATCAAACTGCCAAGAAAGACCTCAATATCAAGTTCCTCGACTAATTAATTATATCGTTGACAAATGTTTATACTCCGAAACTTACCCTCCCTTACTTTTTATATTGTGTGTGTGTATATATATATATATAAAGTGAATGTGGCTATGGTAGGTATTCTCTCCTCCAATACTAGTTAACCAGTTACCAACACGCCCTTCTTTCTCATCTCACAGTGATACATTTGCCTTCTAGCAAACGATAAGAGCAGACATGAAGGCGCAAGAGATCCTTACTATTGACAGGCCGGATGCCTCGCAGATGAACCAAGATCTGATGCAGGCTTTCCACGAAGCACTTGAAAAGAATCCTGCTGCCGACCTTTTGTCGGTTATTGGGAGGACATACGTACTCGCCCACAGAACAGTTCAATACCGAAAGCACTCGGAGGCAGGCCGTTATAATCTTCGAGTCATAAATAATCTCTATGACCAGGTTGTTGGCAGCCCCGAACTTAACTTACGCGACCATTTCCCCTCAGACTATGACCGCAGATACAGATGGGCGAAGCCAAAACCAACAGTACTCGAGCCACAGAAGCCAGAGAAGCCGCGCGACTGGGTCTGCGAGAAACTTGATACCATTGCCACTGCGAGTGTTGTTTACCCACTGTCAGACCAGGCTTCAGCACTTCTCGTACAGTATTCCAAATCAAACGATTTTTCTGATGAGATAGCACTTGCGACCTCGTTGAAGCAGTTGATATTAAACTCCGAGAGGCTCTTTGAACTCAGTATTAGAGGGGTTGTGGTTAAGTGCAACGACGACATCGTGATCAAGGCCTTTCCAGACAGCAGAGATCTTACTGAATACCATAACCTTCAATATCTTGCCAACCATGCTCCAGATCTCCCAGTTCCCAGAGTCCATGGCCTGATTATGCTCGGGCACTTCCGCGTGATGTTCATGTCATACATACCTGGCGTAACCATCGACAAAGTATGGCCGAGCCTATCCCATGAAGCAAAAGTGTCTTTGAAGGGCCAGCTGGGTGACATATTCTCAAGGCTCAGACGCCTACGGCAGGACGACGGGTATGAATTAGGAGGCGTTGGTGGAGAAGGAGCAAAGGATTACCGTATCACAGAAGTCTTTGCACACAAAGGAATAACTACTGCAAAAGGATTCAATGACTTGCAATTCTCTGTAAAGCATCGTGCTAGTCCACACTACGTCAAGCTGCTTCACTCGTTTTTGGACGACCCAAATAGAACCCTGCGAGGTTCAGTGTTTACCCATGGCGACCTGAAGAAGTCAAATATCATGGTAAAGCAGGACGCAAGTGACCCTAATCATTATGATATAGCGGGTATAATAGATTGGGAGGACGGTGGATTCTACCCTGAATATTATGAATGCACTACAATATCAAATGGGCAGAGCATTCTAAGCGATGACGATTGGTACCTTTATATGCCAGACTGCCTCTCGCCTTTACAATTTCCCGTGTATTGGCTGGTAGATCGTCTTTGGGGCAATCTCTTGTGGAATTGGAGGACTGATATAGTTCGGTAGAGATCTTAAAAACATCATATCCTCCACCCATCTCATCTCCAATATCACAGTAATATAAAAACCTCGCCCTTCAAAACTCCTACTGCCATGCTTCGCGTTTCGCCTTCAAGACATTCATATTCATCTGATAATCGTTGTTTTCTGCGTTGATAATCCCTTCATCTTCCAGTCCCTCCAGAAGCTCGAGGACGAAATCCTGGCAACTATAATCAGGGTTCTCGTTGCGGACTGGCATATCCCACGCGATATTCTTGATGGCTTCGATCTTAGCGGGGCCAACTTCACATAATTCGCAGAGTTCAATAAGTGAAGCCGAATTACGTGCGTCCGATGGGGTTCTCACGTCACGAAAATACCGTTGGCGGGCACCAAGTAGATGAATGATGGTTTTGTTAGGCTTCTCCTCAGCGTCGATAAATAGGCTCCAGTGTTTGATACCTGGGTTATCGTAGATAGCCACCTTGAGCGGAATGGTAGAGGCCATGTTGGCTTTGGGATGTAGAAGGAGGGAAGTTAAGTGAATACAGATCTCTTGCTCAAAATAGTGTTATTGCTTTGGTTAATCGATGGGATCTCAAAATAGGTACCCGTCTTTCTCTACTCTGTTAAATAGCAATAGATTCATGTGGCTACACGTGAAAGCATCATCCTTTGCGCCTGAATACACATAAGGAAAGAATCGAGTTTAAAGGGTTTAAACAATGCGTTGTATCGTGTAGTATTATAGACAAAAGGCATGAAAATCTAGATATGAGGCTAGAGCGCTCAAAAAGGGGGTTGTGAGTACTTTTCCCAAACTCCGATTGGAAAAGGCCGGAGGTAAATAAGACAATATCATAAATGAATAGAAAAGAGGGGCAGGCAAACATATACATGAGATCATACGTATCAAATGGTACAAAACAACTGGAAGCAATCGGGGGGCCATAGCCGAAAAAAGGGGAATGGAAAAGGCAAAAGGGATGGATTTATTATAACACGCTAATAAAGGTGGGAAGGGAAGAATTAAGGAAGTAAAAAGAGATTCATCATGGTCTGCATAACGTAGGAAAGTCGTAGGTAGGAGTATTTTCGATATGGATCAGTAATTCCCTTTTTCATTTTTGGTCTTTTTTCCTTTTTTCTTTTTTTCTCGCAGGGGATGGGGGATTTTTTTTGTAAGACGTTGTTGGCGTAGGCGAAAGAGGAGTCGTCGCTGAACGCTATTTAATAGGAAAGACTGGACAAAGGCTTGCAGCGGAGAAAAGAATTTTACATGAATTCAATGACGGAACGCCCATGACAAAACAACAAAAAGGACAAGACAAGAGACAGGGGTGAAGGGGGGAAATTAAGTCTCCAAGCGGCCAAGATGGAAGAGCAAAAAAGTAGAATTGAGAGAAAAAAAAACTGCAATCAGTAGTCATCATAATCGTACTGGGTTCGCTGGGAACCCATTGCGCCGTTATTTTTTCCAGAGCTGGTCAGTGGTCGGGGACCAGTTGGTTTTCGTTGTGGGATACCTCGTCCTGGAGAGGATCTGGACGGGGAACTAGTGTTGTTCTACACGTAGACGATTAGTATATATAGTTGTGTGTAAGATGTTAGTAATAGGGCCGAACTTACGACATGATCAACCATACGAGCAGTGCCTTCCCGCATAGCCATACGCTCAGCATAGCTTGGGTGAGGATCATCGCTTAACTTGGATGAGCGTTGTGGGATAAGAGGGCCATCGTCTCTGACTTTTGGTGGTCGAGGGGGTCCGCTCTGGCTCATGACGGAAGAACCGACTGAGTATGCGCCTGCGGACATTGGTCGATGATTGTCCGCGGCACTGGCCGGGCGATCACGGTTGATGGCTGAAAGGGTAGGATTTGATGCCCAAGCATCCGAGTTGGGAGAATTTGGGACTCCATAGTGCTGTGCCTGAGACTCGAGTTGTGTTTGGTATCGAGACGTGGGTCCCTGGCGTGGCTGGGGGTGTTGAAGATTCAAGCTGTCCCTATGAGCTCGATATTTGGGGTTTTCTGAAAGCTGTGATGGAACAAGTGGAGATGGAGGCCGGTTTTCCGTGTTATCCTTGTTGAGGCTCGTGGCGGAACGCAGTCTATCATCGCCACGGTGATCATAGTACTCAGCAGTGGTGTAATTGGCATTTTCCAGGTCAGAGTTGGATCTGGATGCTTCAAATGAGAAGCGTTCTTTACGGCTAGGCTGGATGCTGTTACGGATGTTTTCACCCATGGAAGACGCGGTGGTCCTGGACCATCGAGATATCTTTGGGAAGAATGATGAGCTGCTAGACTTGGTCTTGCGGGGTTTCTCGTTAGACATCTTGGGCGTTGTGTCTGCGCTAGGAGGGGCGGAGGCAATTGGTACCCGCTCAGGGGTTGCCAGCGGGACCGAAGCACCTCGTTTGTGACGTCCGACAAACCGAGAGCCTGGAGGTGTTGGGTTCTCGAGAATCTCTTGCTCATCCCGGGTCAAGGCCTCATCCTCATTTACTTCCATGACGGGGCTGATGCCACGCTGAGAAGACTGCACCCGATTATCACTTGTACGAAGAGGGGAGCTGTTGTACGGAGACTGATCGGTGGGAGCGCCTCGTTCCTGCTCTTCATATTCATCTCCATCCACATTCTCAGCCGAATTACCGGTAGTGGGAGCTCGGCCCTCCTGAGCCGCTCGCAGAGCTTCGACTTCGGTGAGCAGATGAAGAAGCATTTCCTCAATGTTAGTCAGGTCGCCTGAGCTCTTCAAGCTGAGAGTCTTCAATGCTCTCTTGAATACATTCTTTTTCTTTGAGCGCATTTCCTCCTCAAAGTCACTGGATAGCTTGCTGTGGGTGCGAGGAGTGATCATTGGACGTGGCCCACCAATGGCTTTTTGGGTACGATCATGGCCCTTGGTGTTTGCGTCAAGCAGCATCTCATCTTGCTGTGCGATGTACTTCTTCATGTCCTCGAATGAGTTGCGCATCTCAGCGGCACTACGTACGAGGGTGATCAAGATCTCGGTGTCTCTGGCGTTACGCTGAGCATCACGGACAGTCAACTAGAATCTTGTTAGTAACAAATTGACTTAAGGGTTAATTAATGACCTACATGATCCATAAGTGCTACGATATCCTTGGATTGAATCCTATCGATACCTCGACCAGTCGAGCTATCGTATAGTGGCGATGGCATGCCATGAGAGTATCCGCTCAGGTGTCGTTTGTGTTTGTCGTTAAAAGGATCATCGACATCCATGGGGCTTCCTAGTCCGATATCATTTGCCAAGTCGAACCCTTTACCCTTTGGTTCTGGGGTAGCACTGCTATTTGATCTATGATTTGCACCAGAGATGTATCCTTCATCCCTTGGGCCAGGAGAGGCCATATCGAAGTGGTCATTGCCATAGGGATTAGGACCAAGGCTCTTGTCCATATCATAATGGTCACGGCCCGATTCCTCGGTGATAACACCGAGACCAGCCCCGTACCCAGCACCGGCTAGATCTCTAATATCGGCATCGTTGCCTGATAGTTCCCGCTCGGGGGATAGCAGTTGTCTGCCTGATTGAGGAGGGCTTGGTTCATAGGGCCAATGATCGCGGCCCTCATGGGGTACACCGCCAATGGGCCCCTGGATGATGGAAGGGTTGGTGTTAATATCTGATTCGGTGTCCACCATGTGGCCTATTTCAGGTATCGGGCTACCGGAATTTGGCAGGGCACTGGCGCCAAGAATTGGCCTGTCTTCATCATCTTCTTCCTCCTCTTGGTCAGACTGGGTAGCACTGTGTGGGGGTGACGTTACGCCCATACGTTCATGGAATGGACGCTCGTCAACACTGGGTGCTGCTTCTTCTGCTCCCTCTTCTGTTCTTTCTTCTTCTACATCGTCTTCCTCCTCATATGGTTCTTCCTCCTCAGGTTCTGGCTGCTGTTCTTCAAGGTCTGCTTCTCTGGTTTGCTCATCCCCTTCTATTCCAGGTGTGTAGCTTCTGGACGAGCGGTTGATGTGAGGATGTGGCGAACGGGTAGAAACGAGAGAAGGATCCAGGAGAGAAGCAACTGCTGACTCGACTCCAATGGGAGCATGGACATACTGGACATTAGTAGCACGTCCACCAGCAATCTGCTGTCCTTGATCGAGAGGGTCAGTGAAGGTGTCGTCAGTATAGTTCGTCATGTGCTTTGAGTCGATGTCTAGGTCAAGGTCACGGTCGTGATCATGTTCGTCGTCCCCAATGTGTTCGCCATGCTCCCAATAACCGGGAGAATTCCTCTGTGATTCCCCAATATCCAGCTCGGCGCCTTGCTCTTCATCAGGGATGGTTGGAGGGTGACGCCTATCATGGCTATAATCAGCCGTTCGAGTTGACCTGGCTAGATCTGTGCTTGCGGCAGAGGAGAGGGATTCAATGGATAGCCGCTGGGGTTGCTTGAGGCCGTCCTCGTCCTGGCCAGGAGTTAGGCTACGGTCGTGCTGCTGAGTGGTGTCGTGTTCATGTTCGTCAGCTTGGTAGCTAGCCACGCTATGGATAGGGCTGAGGGCCCGGTTATTGGAGAACTCGGCGTCGTCATGCTGCTGGAAGGATTTGGGAGTTGGTGATTCGTTGAATTCCCTGCCCATTTCTTCTGACAAACCGCTACCTTGGCCTCTTAACTCTCTGATGTAATTGTCAGGAGTCATGCGGGCTGGAGAAGCGAGTGCCCGGGGAGACCCTCTCGGGACTTCACCTTCGAGGGCGGTAGCTGTCTGCGCAGACTGCTGAGATAGGATAGACTGTCTGGTCATTTCGGAATCGATGCCGCTGCGGAAAGGCATGGGCGCCACATCGTGTTTCTGGAAGATGAGCTCGGTATCATTGATGCCTCCTCCACGGCTGCCGCTGGCAAGAGAGCTCTTGCTGCGGCGATGAGTCTTCTCCCGTCGACCTAAACTCGAGTTTGAATCGTGATGCCGTAGAGCTGCGGTGGTAAGGGCGGTGCCAACAATTTTGGCAGCTTCAGCATCGCGGAGACCCTTGCTTCTCTTCCGGCTGACGCCTGACACTTCGGTCGTACGGTCTTCGGAGGCACGGCGAGACGAGCTTCGCTCGCGACGCGGGCTGGATCGTTTCTCGCGTCGTCGCTCCTTGGACTTTGACGAGCGGGAGCCGGGAGAATGGACCGGTGTGCTGGGATCAGCGTCGAGAGCTAGGCTTCTAGAAACATCCGGTGCGCTGGAGTGCTTCGACAGCCGCGAGGAAGGGTCATCCTGAGACGACTTATGACCTGCACGACCAGCCTTGACCCGGGCCAGGGGATCGTCTTTTTGGTCCTTCTTGAGCTCCTTTAGCTCTGGAAGGATGAGTCGACGGATGGCATCTTCGACTGTTTCGAGGAGTTTTGGATTGTTGAGAGACGATCGTGAGGTGCCTGATCGAAAGGAGTACTGGTCTCCGTTCCCGTTCTTTCCGTTACCTGAGGCGAGTGATGTGCTGAGATAACTTGACTCGGGGCTCGCCAGGTCCTTGTCTCTGTGCTTCCCCGAGCGTTTAGAGCTGTAGTCGAAGAGAATGTCTCGACTGCCAGTTCCACTCCCCTCACCGTACCGCTGCTTTGACCGGGTGCGGTCTCTGGGAGCGGTGCCACTGATCTTCTCAGCTGCCTTTTGAGCAATCCTCTCACGACTCAGACTACGGCTCCGCCTCCTGGAGGGGGTCTTGAGCAAGTCACGAGACTCAGGAGCTTCGGTCTCGTCTCCGCTGACGCTGTGGCTTCGATGACGATGGGTCTCAGACACGACCAACGGACCATCCAGCATGCTGTCGGCAGGCATCGAGGAGATGTCCGAAGTGGGCTGGATGTACCTGGACGAAACCTCACTGTCACGATTGACTATCTCGATCTCTACCGGGTGGCCACGCGATGCACCTATATCGTCCGCTCCATCGGTCAGGGAGCTCAGACTCCTGTCATCACCACCTCTGTCGACATCCTTTGACGACCTGCTCGGTGTGCTCAGCGAGATACGTCTGGTGTACGATGGTTTCCTGCCTCCGCTGTTTTCACTGATATGGATACGATCGGGGTGGTGATGGTGGTGATGGTCTCTATCCCTCTCCTTTTTTCGGCTGGACGAGGGTGTCACCCTGACCCTGACGCTGGGGCGGGAGCTGATACCGCCTCCACCGGAACCCTTCTTGCCGCCTTCGAAGTACTCTATGAGCAAAGATGTCTGCGAGTGATGAGAGGAGCGGGACATCTTGCCGTCGTCACGGTCCCTGGGTCGAGAAGAGCGACGACGGGTGGAGATGGTGATGGGGCTGCCATCTTCCGGGATGGAGTAGGACGTCTTGTCTGTCCGGCGAGAGACGTCGGTGGCCAGGTCGGTGCCGGTGGTGCTGGCGATGGTGGTATCGAGATTGGACTCCGTGGGAGCTGGGAGTATGGGTCTGCGGGTGTCGACACCCATGGCGTTTGACGGAAGAGAGGCCCTTTTCTTACTGTTCCCAACAGGCCACTATCATAGTCAGAATGAATGGCAAACGGGTATATAGCCTGTGTGTATCTCTTATATATCTCTGTCAATACCCTCAGATAGACACAGACGGACGTTTGTTTCTTATTGCTGGTTGTAGGTGGTGCTGTTTGTCGGTGTAGTAATTGAACAACGGAGAAAGACAAGAAAAGAAGCCACAGAAGCTACCCTCGTCTCTCTCTCCGTGATATTTCTTCTCACTGGTAAAAGGCGAAAAAAAAACAGAACCTTTATCTTTTCTTCCCTTGGTGAGGCGACAAGTGACTGACTTGGGTTGATGGTTGGCGGTGGTTGGTTGGTCTGCTTTGTTGTCAAACCCGCGGGCGCGGGCCGTGGTCCTTGTGAGGAGGAGGAGAAGTGAAAAAAAAAAAAGGAAGAAGAAGGTATATAATTACAAGAAGGTAGCAGAGTAAAAGAAAAGACCAAAGACCAGAAAAAGAGACAAGGCCAGGATGAAGTATCTCCTTTTTTACGATGGGAGGAGAAGAAGAAGAAAAGAAGAGAAGAGATGCTTGTCCTCCGTCTTCGTCTTCTGCTTCTGCTTCTTCTCCCAGCCTGCCTTGAACTAGCGCAGCAAAACGTATGGACCAGCCACTTATTTACTACCAACACCACCACCCGCGCCTTCACCAGTCGAACTGGTCGACCATCATCTATTCTTATCTCTATCGTCTATTTGTCTATCATCTACCGTCGAGTAGATCAGTCTGGTCTGCCGTCGAGTCTATGGCCGGCCGTTGTGTCGTTGGACCATGAACAGCTCCAGGTTACAGACAGATAACTGCCCATCTAGCTATCGCCGGTTTTAACTCATCAGCGACGTCTCCATCGACTATGTCCTCCGTATGTAGGCTCAATTACTGGCATTCAACATGTCAACTCCATCACACTCCCATCACACGCCCACAGCCTGTCAGTGGCTCTCTCTCCCTGTCCGTCCCCCGGTCAACCGCCATCCTTTCTTCCCTGTCCCCTGCCCCCTTCGAAGCCGCGGCATGGCCTGATTGGCCTCTTGCCTGGGAGGAGAGGGCTCCCTTTTCCTCTCAGAGTCTCTCTTTCGATCTTCGCTTTCGTGCCAACGCATCAACTCTGCACTAAACTCTCTGGCCTTGCTAGCACAGAGGAGACCGGGGACGGCCTTACATAGTACAAATATATCATACTCTGTCTGCTCTGTCGACATTGCAGGACGATGACATATGACGGCAGGGGAGGTTGCATCCGACCCGTCCGTCTCTTGATCCCTATCTTATGACAGCCTCGATTCTGGCGGGTGCTTGCATATGCTATGTATATACGAAGGGCACTATATGTCCACCCACCTACATAGTACAGGCTCACGATGTCCTGCTCTGCACGAGTATCGATGTAAGGCACAGCCTCGAGCTGACCTGTCTACCCACTCCTGCTCTTCTGTAGCTACCACCATCGTAGGCCCTCTTCACTTCTCCTGTAGTACTCTATCACCCGCTTCTCTTCTCTTCTCTTCGCCTTCTTCCCCTCCTCTTCACCCTCTTCTCTCCTCTTCCCTCCTCTTCATTCTCATCTTCATCCACATCCTCCTCTTCATCTTCATGTGTAAACGACTTGAACGCGTGGCTTGGGCTGTGCAAGCTGGGCGGTTAAAGGGGCTTCATACAGCGTAATACACTGTAATAATGGCCGTTTTGCTGTATCTCGGCAGAGCGATACACTCCTGGTACCAAGATTACCCCGCCTGAGACAAGCGCCAAGTGAAGAAAGAAACGTAAGTTTTGGCGCTTTTTGCTTTTCTCCACCAGCAGAAAAAGAAGCGACTTTGACTTCATCTTGACGACTTCAACTTCCAACCTCTTCCTCATATCCATCTTCTTCTCTTTCATATCGTCTCTTCATATCTTCTCTTTTCCTTGCCTTCTACGACATCGACGGGCCAGGGACGCTCACTCGCTTTTACGTCTCCCTGCGCCTCCCTGCGCTTCTCGCTGACACGCATCCCCCAGACAGACCAACAGACAGAAGACAGACGGACGGACGGGCGGACAGACAGACAGACAGGAGACGAACCGAAGATAAAAGCCAGAACTTGCGGTCACTCGTTTAGTCGACTTCTGATGAGATAGGTTAGGGGATGTCTGCTCGAAAACACGCATAGTCCAGCCACATAAAGAATACCAGCATACAATATACACGAAAACGTCAGGAAAGATAGAAACGAAAGAAGGATGCATCTAACTCCGGCTCTATCGTTTCTCTTCGCCCTCATCTCCCTCTCCCAGCTTGCCTCGGGCCTGAAGCTCATCGAGTCCAAGTCTCTCACACCATGCGCAAACACAGCCACACAGAATAATGCCGACTTCACCGCAACACTCTTCAACATCGCCTTCACCCCGGAGAACCGCACTCTCAATGTCAACTTCCTCGGTGTCTCCTCCATCGATGGCTACGTCACTGCTCGTCTGGAGCTGTATGCCTACGGATATCCGGCCGTTGACCAAAAGTTCGATCCTTGTGATCCCAGTATCGACCTCAAGGGTCTCTGCCCCATGAGTGCCGGTCCCATCGAACTTCACTCCAACATCCTCAATCTCTCAGACGATATCATCAACAAAGTACCCGGTAATGACCATAGTGTATACTGCTTTTTTTACCTTTATTTCTTTTCATGCTGATAAATGTAGGAATCGCGTACAATGTCCCTGATATCGATGCCAAATTTCGTGCCTACATCTACAAACGTGAAACTGGCGCAACCATCGCCTGTTTCGAGGGCCAACTCTCCAATGCCAAAACCGTCTATCACAGGACGGTCGGTTGGATAGTTGCCGTCATTGCTGGCATAGGACTCGTCGCTTCGGCCATCACGTCTGGTCTCGGCCATTCCAACACCGCAGCACACGTCGCCGCCAACGCACTCTCCCTCTTCAGCTTCCTGCAAGCCCAAGCCATGATCGGTCTGACCTCCGTCACCCTGCCTCCCGTCGTTCAGGCTTGGACTCAGAACTTCCAGTGGAGCATGGGTATCATCCACGTTGGCTTCATCCAGAGGATCTGCACTTGGTACCAGCGCGCCACAGGTGGAACGCCAGCGACCGTCCTCGATTCCCTCACCACCACATCCATCCAGATCAAGAAACGATCCATGGAAGTCATGAACCATGTCCTCACCCATCCCAACGGCCTAACCAAACGTGTTAACAATAACCCGTCCGTCGGAGAAACCATCAATAACATCGTCCTACGTGGTATCGACAGAGTCGCCTTTAAAGCTAAGATGGAGACTACAAACTTCTTCATGACTGGACTTCTCTTCTTTGTCCTCTTTGTCACCTTTGTAGTGCTTCTTGTTACCGCGTTCAAGGGATTCTGTGAATTGGCCGCCAAGAACGGCTGGATGAAGACTGACAAGTTCCAGGAGTTCAGGAACGGGTGGAAGATTGTCATGAGAGGAATTCTCTTCAGATTGGTATGCATTTGAACTCTCTTTGCCTCTGATGTGCTATTGACTAACCTCCGGTAGACTCTAATTGGATTCCCACAAATGTCTATTCTATGCCTCTGGGAATTTACCCAGGTTGACTCCCCGGCTATAGTGATCCTTGCCGTCTTCATGTTGCTCTCGGTTATCGGCTCTCTCAGCTGGGCGGCGTTCAAAGTCATCAGTCTAGCCAAGAAATCAGTCCAGATGCACAAGAACCCAGCCTATATACTCTACTCTGACCCATCAGCCCTCAACAAATGGGGGTTCCTCTACGTCCAGTACCGCGCAACTGCTTACTACTGTGTCGTTCCGCTTCTCGGCTATATCCTGATTAAGTCCATGTTCATTGGTCTTGCTCAAAAGGCACCATATGTCCAGGCTATCTCCCTTTTGATCATCGAACTTGCTGTGCTTATTGGTGTCTCTATCCTGCGACCATGGATGGATAAGAAGACAAATATCTTCAACATCTCCATTGCTGCTGTTAACTTCTTTAACGTCATCCTCCTTCTCTTCTTTAGTGAAATCTTCAAGTTGCCAGTAAGTCCTTCTTTTAATACAAGACATACACAAACCCATCTAACATCATTTTTCTAGGGCCTTGTTGTCGGGGTTATGGGTGTAGCCTTCTTCGTCATCAATGCTGTCTTCGCTCTCATCCTCTTGATCCTCGTTCTCATTGCCTCAGGCTACGCAATGCTATCCAAGAACCCCGACACCCGCTACCAGCCCATGCGTGACGACCGAGGATCTTTCATCAAATCTCAGACTCAACTCACCACTGAGCTCGATGCTCTAGGTGCCACAGCCCGCGGTGAAGGTAAATTCAACGAATTTGAAGATGACTCTACCTCCCTCTCAGGGCAGTCCAACGGCCGTGCACCACTTGATACTCGTTCTACCAACGACCAGCACGCCCCGGGCCAAGGATACCCTAACCGTCCTCCACACTCTCCCGTAGATCCCTCTGTTCCCCTTTTCCCATCCAGCGTGTCCACTCACTCTGCCCATTCCCAGAGAACTGGCGGACCACAACAATACCAATCTCAACCCGCCTTCCATGATGCATCATCCGTCCATTCATCCCCATACTCACATAATCCATCATCTACCCCAGGCGGGTACACCACTTCGCCTTTCCCACGCACGGGTTCGGCAAATCCCCATACAGCCAGGGCGCAGAATAACGCCAGTCCATGGCAGAGGGGCGCCGGTTATGACTAAACGTTTGACATCTTTTCCTTTTCCTGTTATTTTATTAATCCCGCGACTGCTCCCTTGAGGAAGCTGCCTTTATTCCCCCCATCCGCCAAGCCGCCACCACCTAGGCTGTTGATTACCATAACTTTTTCTTTGTACAAATACTTTTCTTCCCCCTTTTTACTGCAGTACTTTACTTATGCCGTACGTACAGCTAGTGATTAGGCTGTGGACTGGATTCATGGAGTTATCTTCTTTTCTTCTGGTCTGGTATTATCCCATTTATCCGTCTGTTCCTCTCAGGATCCCCTCATTCCCCCTTTCTATTAAATGGTTGTCTATTTCATTTCTTCGCTTCATGGGACAATATTTACTGCCTGCCTCCGTTTCTACAATTGGGTCACCACTGCTTTGCTCAGAATTTTTCCTTGCTGCTTTCTGTCTTCTTCAAATAGAGAATGGTAAGAACTGGCTATTACCAAAAACCGTCCTTTCAACCCCTCGTGGCTAAGTATGATGACCACACCCCTGGCGTTCATTTGTTTCCCTCTCCTTTCCTCTGTGCTTTTAGTTGTGTCTTGTTTCTCTTCCCTCTCTGCCCTTAGGCCGTTGGTATTGAATTAAATTGAGTTAATTGTTCATTGCTGTGATTTTTAGAAGCTGGTTGCGTAGTTGCTTTTGTTTTCATTATGATGTTTGTCCACGTTATTTCATCATTCCTGCTTCACTAGATCCAAGTTAACTTCAACATAGACCTACACACGCCACTCTAAGGTTGCATCGGAGCAACAATGGTCTAATAGCTAATCAATGAACTTGTTTCCCCAATCACCAACCTTTTCTCTTGCAACAAATAATATAAAGCAAAATAAAGAAATGTTACAATTGCAAATAAAGAGATAAACACTCGACCAAAGTTTCAATTCCCATACTAAGAACAAAAAGGGAAGAAAAGAAGCAACGCTTATAAAGTACAAAAGAAAACTAAAGCAAACCGGTAAATAATTATTTTGGCTTTTTATGACTATCTAGAATCGCCTAATCCCGGCGGCGCCTGAGGGCCATGCGGGAGTCCCCCTGCCTGCTGCTGCCCAAGTCCAGGGGGTGCAGGTGGTCCGCCAGCAGAACTAGGCCCTTGACCGGGCATCTGTCCTTGTTGACCTGGGAAGGGCGGGAGGGGAGGCACACCGCCTGCTCCTGGAGGTGGAAACTGGAAATTGGGCGGGAACCCGCCTGGTGGTGGTGGCGGGAATGGAAGGCTACCTGGTGGCATATTTGGTAGGGGCATTGGAATTGGCATGGACTTGTCGCCAGAACCCGGGGCGCCGGACGGTGGGAATGGCGGGGGGAAAGGCATACCGCGGCCTCCAGGAGCTGTGGATGGAGGCGCATTAGATCATGTATTATTCCAATATCGATGTATCTAATTTGTTATAAGAATAACTTACGCGGTATCATTCCGCCAGGGGGCGGAGGTGCGCCGGGAGCTCCTTGCATGCCTGGCATGCCAAATGGCGGAGGCGGTAATGAACCTGGTTGGCCTACCAATGGATAGGGATGTCAATTGGATCCTCGAAGTATAAAAGAAGCAAGTAATGGTCGAGGTGTATTTATTTACCCGGAAATCCAAATGGAATGGGGGGATATCCTGCTTGCCCCGCGACATGCTGAAGCATGGGATTGGCATTTGCCTGGCCCTCAGCCGCATATGATGAAGTGATTGAGTCTATCACCGACTGAGCCTTTTCATGTCCGATCTCTAATATCCGCGAAATTAGCTAGCTGAACAGTATCGAAACTTATTTTCATATGTGCTGCTGCGCTTGCGATAGTATAGTGGTCTAAAGCTCGCCCTTTTCAATACCCAAACTTGACGGCACAAACGTATGAAGCTAGGGCGGTGTTGCATACCCTGGTAGTATTGAACAACGTTCTTTAAATGATTCTTTCCTGAGTTATGAGCTTTGCGCACGCTCATCGAGTCGTGTGTGAGGTATACATCGCAATAGTCGCCTGAGTAGAAAGGCACCCTAGCGTTAGCATATATCCTTGCCGTACTCTTCTTCACGCGAATATACAGCCCGAGGTATAGTGTTTCGGCCGCGATAGCTTGTGCAGGGAATAATGAATAAAGACCTACAAAAGAGTGCATGAGAAGTTAGCTTATGGGATCAAGAGAAAGAAGCTTCCAAGGAGACTTATATTTCGGCATCGTGACAGTAGAATATCCACGCCTATTATAATTTATCCTCTCCGCGCTTTAGCTGCCTGGTATTGACGAAATAGCTCGTCTTTCTGGCTCTACTACGCGGCTCTCAATCGATTCACTTTATCTCGAATTGAAACTTGACGGGCTGCCCTTTAAATTGGAGAGCAGATTCATGTAATTAGATGATCGCAAAAAGGTATAGTGGTCAATAGTATCACCAAAGCGCAAGGTGTTTTCTCATTCTATCGTAAAAGCTCTTGTTATCAAAAAATATTGTGAAATGTTATATCAGATGAACTTATCGCGGCATCTTGAGATACCCAATTTAGACTAGCGTATAACAAATGTTTGCACTGTTTGATTAATTTCACGTGATAGTATCCGACTTGAGGTTCCCAATCGGGCAATAAGAACTTCTTGTCTTTTAGCTCAGCGAAATCTTGACTATCTTAAATAAATGTAATTACCAATACATGGGAATATGCTCGCTTCCGAAACGGCATTCCAGTGTCTGCCATACTCTATGTCCTCACCAAAAAATCAAACTTCTATGCTGAAGTGAAATCTCTTTGCACTTTCACTTTGATCTTATTATTCCCCGGTTTTGTCTGCCCGTTAAAACAATCCCGAACGATCGTCACATTTTCTTCTGTGGTCTCGAAAAGTGAAAGCTCGAAACGTCGGAAAATGGTAGCCAGTCCAATATAACACCAGGCGTAAGCCATACTATTCACCAGTTAGCAAAGACAACAATATATTGCAAAGGAGAAATTCATACTTCGGCCCCAAACACCCTTGGCTACCTTTTGAGAAAGGTACCAAGTATTTCTCCAAATTGAGTCCTGTACTCCCTTGCTCCATCCATCGCTCAGGAGAGAAAACTAGTGGTTCTGGAAAAGCGGATGGGTCTTTCAATGTCAGATATATTGACATGCTAACCGGTGTCTAATGTATTCGCTATAATGTTAGCTGGAGAAAATTAAGGGCATAAACAAGATGGGAATATACCCCTGCTGGTATCTTCCAATTAACGTATTCCAGAATTCCATCTGGAGAAATGCGTGGGAGCCGGGAAGTGACGAGAGCGGATATTCGAAGCCCTTCCTTTATTACCGCAGTCTATGATCACATAGTAAGCAACTTTCTATAAGACAAGGACCGCTTTTGCATTAGCCTACTAAATATGGAAGCGTTTCAAGCATAGCTAAAGGGGGATCAACCCGTGGATTCGGGAGCGCGCGCATCAGCTCCTCCCGTAACTTTTCATATACTTCACTATTGTTCAAAATATGAAACATAGTGATAGCCAGAGCTTGGGAAGGAGCGTCTGTTCCAGCTACTATCAAAAACAATGCGTCGTCTGTCAACCTCCCGAGATTTCGTTCCGAGGCTGGAAGTTTTTCATCATGCATTACTTCAGCAAATATACATGGCTCCTTAAGTTCATGTTTGTTCATCACGTAAACCTGTTTCATACGGGATTTTATCTCCTAAAGTTCCGTTATCAGTATACAGGGGCTACTGCAACATTCAATTTCGAAATAAAGCATACCTTTTCAATGAAATAAATATCAGGGCATGACCGTACCACAATCGTACTCGCCCAAAGAGGAAGGACCCGAAAAGCATGTATCAACCAAGGAAAATGTCTTGTTAAAAGGAATTTGGCAAATACCCCGGTAACTCCATCTTTCCACCTGTCATCCAACTTTTTTTCCTGCAGAAGATCATAGCAGTTTGACTTTCCAAATGCGTGATGAGAAACGATGTCAACCGCAAGAGATATGAAACACCTATGCAACTCCAAAGGTTCATCGGTTTTTAGAGCTTCTTGCATATGCCTGCAGAGCGATTTAACCTTTTGTTGGATAACAGGCTCCAGAGTTCGAATGGCCTGCTTGGACAGGTATGGGCTAAGCATTCCTCTCCGTAACCGATGGTGATCGTAGTCCACAGTTGCAAAAACCGATCTAGGGACGCCGGTAGAGAGGAACCATTTATATTTATTTCGCCTCTTAGTTGGTCCAGCATAAAGAGTGTTGTAGTAACTTGGATCTTTGATATGGAGCTCATAGGGGCTAATTCGTACAATCGGTCCATACTTCTCATGCATCCGATCAATCTCCCATAAAAATATGCCTCCACAAATGACATCGAAGTACATTTCGTACCATCGGGACACAGCAGCCAATTTGGGGCCTGGGAACTTGGCCAAGGGAGAAAACAGAAGACGGTATGTAATCAGGCATATTCCGTAAAGAGCTGATACGAGAGAAATTATAACGACATAGTTCAGGTTCGTTCCGTGGATTAACTCAAAATCTATGAGTATCATGATGGATATGTCGAGGGCATATCAATATGGTAGTCACAAGACGTCCTCGGAGACTCTAGGTCGTCACTTCTGACCGATGTATGAAAGGAACAACCTTGTAAACCAAACCAATAAAAAGGAAAATAAAATGAATCAGAAAAAGAAAATCAGCTTGGTGTATTCAATGCACTTGTCCAAATAACTTAATCGCTAGTATTCATTTATGTACTTTTCCAACATGCTGTGAAACTCAGTAGGTTTCCATTAGGAGGCCAACTCATTTTTCAGTTGCCAATAGAAAGCCACTTCCACAGGCTTCATCGTATCAATGCACCAGGAAGTATAATATACCTTATTCTCTGTGCTGTTCACCATGAAGTATGGCTTTAACTGGCTGTTCAGACCTAACCCTCATCTAGCAGTTCTATCTCCATTACCCAGCTCGATATATAATTCTTTCAACCAACACCAAGAGATAGGGGCTGACCAACAAGGTGGTGTGATAATATTATTATTAAGAGTATGAAGGGTAATTACATGTCAAAAATATTAATACTCCATTGATTAGATCCCTCCCGAGAGTTCGAGCATCAGGGAGCCAAATTCCTTGTCGAAATCGTTAATGATTGGCAAAAAGTCCTGGTACGCTTCTGGAGAGCATTTGTCCTTGAGAATATCCTGAAGTCCTGCTTTTTCCTCGCCCACTCGATTGGCCACACGTTTGGCAATGATGGTACCGCCCGGAACTGCTTTGACAAGGGGGACCTACGGACGATTAGCCATTTGACCCAGAATTGTAGTGGTAATGCTCAAAAGGGTAGTTACCTTGCTAGAAGTAGCCTTTACGGCGGATGTCAGGCCATAGAACAACCGTGCTAGGTGGGGTTTTCCCTCTATCTCCTCTTGTTTGGTCAGGGGGGCCATGCCATCTATTCTTTTCCGGCTCGTTTTGGCCTTATCACAAACGTCGTAGATGGAATTGGTTATCATCATCAGCTCAGAAATACCTCCTGGTGACTGATTTATCATCTGAGAAACATTTTCGATAGATTCACTGATAGGGTCGAGGTGTGCGATAGCCTCTGGGGCAGAAGCGAACGCTGCAGGGTATGCGGTGGCCTGGACTGCAAAGGTCGCAGCCAACAGGGCAAAGTATTTTGTGAAGAGCATGGTAGCGAGATTAAAAGATGAAAGTGGCTGTACTTCTTAAAACCCCGTTACTATTTGTACAGATAAAGATAAAAGGATATAATGTATGGAGGAAAGGATATCTTGATAATGGGGGGATATGTGCGTATCTTTATAAACATGAGCACAACTGGGAGCACCAAAGGGATTCCAAGGAATTGATTTCAGCCCAATTCATTTTGGAGGCTTGCTATGTGAGCCCTGAATAGCTGTTAAATATTCAGGACTCCATCTCAGGCTTCTGCCAGGTCGCCGATCTCGTAGATCATGTAAATGCTTGGTCCTCCCATGACTTTGATAGCTTGTGCATGGGCTCTGTATAATGCAGAGTAAGCCCCCGACTCGAAGCATGTACCAATAGGGAATTAAATGTGTGAATGAGTGTGATAACCAGGGTGGGCTTGCAGGCAGGCTTGCTGTTGAACATAACTATTGCTTTGAGTAAATTTCTTGCTAAGGTAATATTGGTCAAAAGATGGGGCTGGCGGGACGGTGCGTCACTAACTAGTCAATCAAAAGTTATTCTACTATGTAAGTGGATGCGGTTAAGGAGTCCCTTGTACCCTGCAAAACGAGTTAACTCCAACTTCATTATCGCAGGAAAAGAGCGCGTCTTTGAGCTTTCAGTGGTTGGTGTCCTACACAAAATACATTAAACAGAGTACGGAGTACTCTGTATATAGAGTATGGAATAAATCTGGGGTGCATTCAGGTGTTCGAATAAGCAATTGAGAGCCAAAAGCTAACCGTAAGAGCTTACAACTTCATCGGCCAATCAGGTAAATAAAGCAAACATTATTCCGACGATGAGTTACAGTGCACTGATATCTATTTCATCAGGTCGGTAAGCGGTCAATATCTCTGCAGCTCCCTACATCAGCTCAACACGCACGTCTGATCGGAAAAAGCGTAGTTCTTTATTAATCACCTAAAGTCGAACTTGATACTATTGATATGTATCTAGCTGACTATATCTACGTCAGAAATGTTTCTTGGACCCTTTTGACGGGACAGCTTATGTGGCCACTGTGAGTCCCTTGGGATATAAGTACAACTACGTACAACCTATAGCTAGTCCATCGTTATTTCACGTCAGAATCTTGTCAAGGCAAACCACGTTTAATATATCCAGGAATTTCCGGGTTAATACTTGATTCTTCAGGTATCTATCTGGCTAGAAAGAAATATGAATTGAAGCCTGACAAGCACTTCCTATGAAGGTTTTCTGAAAGCACGTTGAACATTTTAGGGACTGGAGGTATTGTGTACTCCTTTAGTGTTATCGGAATCACACATTTGGAGGGAAATCGGCCAGATAGTCCATTTCATTCGCCCTTGCTCTGCCAAACTACTTTAGTATGTACAATGGAAAAATGAACTAGATAAAAGCAACTGGCTCCATAAATCAACCCTCTGGAAGCCTCTACTATTTATAACTAGGCTATACCCCCCACGATAAGAGATTCTATTCTAGTGTGAGATGTAGCTAGGATTGTTTGACTATAAATCCTAAAGTTGATGCCTTTAATTCTAGCAGGGTGTGGATGGAGATATTTATATTTCTCTACACAGAACTCAGGTTGAAAAGATGCGACGGTCGTGTCTTACAATCGAATTATTCTATATCTTGACAGATCTAAAACATGCGTTGGCAGCTTGTTTCCTTCACTGGGAACTATGATAACATGCCTTAGCCAAAATGCCGGCCATTCCGGCCGGTTCGGTTTATGAGGCTGTAAATTCCCCTCCGTATATGCAAGCGCTCCCACGGCCTATATTGCCCGATATTAATACATAGTAGAGAAAACTAGTTCACTATAGAGACTTTTGATATACTGCAAAACCCCTAACTATGTCCAAGGCTATTACCTTGATGCCTGAGACAAACGGAAGGAGCTGCCGGCTTTGTGCTAAACTTTGGAAAGCTGCTCCATGTGCGATGACAGCATATTGATAGGCTCGATAATGCTTTTAGTAGATTAAAAAGCACACTTAAATGGTATGTATGTAAACCAGTATCACTCCTCACTAGCATTACGGATGCCAGGATAGAGTGGTCGTTGACAAGCCAATTGTCCTTCCTAGGGGCCGCGAAGGTTGCTTCCGAAAGGTGAGAGACATCCGTGTGATATGTAAACGAACATCCGACATAACGCCAAACCACTAGCTGGCATTCCCATTGAAAATGGGATTTAGGTAATAATCGCAACCCACAACTATAAACTCCATCCATGTCTCCAGGAACATATAGCCGACATATTGCAACTCCCAAAAGACACAGTAATCAATAGATGACGTATAATCGGTGAAAATTAGCATTGCTCCCAGGGTGGAGGGGCTATGGAAGCTTCGGTTCCCCAAGAAGAAGATTTGCATTGTTTCTAGATCACTGATGGTGGACACTAGAAACTTCGGCCGGGTAAAATGCGCAGCTGCTACCATTGAAAATTTGCATCCCATAGGTGAGCCTTAAGGTTACCAAATCGGCATTCCATCTTGGCCCGGTGAAGGATGCAGGTCGGGCCGGCCATAATGGAAATAAGCGTCGTCACCGAAACTCGGTGTGCTGCATGGGACAAGCGATAGAAGGGCCGCCGGCGCGCCTATATGTTATTCCTTCGTGGGGGTTATCTTACCCCCACATATGTACCTACACAGTAGGCTACTAAGGACGAGGCTCACTACTATGTAACCCGTCCTCAGACGCTAATCTTTGTTCTTTATGGATTCCAAACTCTCGTTCTCTGACACACTATAATATAGCGCATTATTGTAAACCGAAATAAAAGTAGTTGCAAGAAGAAATAGGTTTAGGGAAGCCCGTTGACGAGATCAGGTGCGGTCGATCGGTAGTTTTAAACCACGAAATGGTTCTCACTCGGAAGCCCGGCGTTCTTCATGGCGGTTCCAACGGGAAAATATGGATGATAATCGGGTTGAAAATATCATGACTAACTCTCTGATGGAGATTGGGGTTTGAAACGTGCATGACCGCGGCGTAAATGTAGATATCAGACTGGTAAGATGGCCAAGGCGGCCACGGTCCGAGGGCTTGCAAAATTAATTCCTGCTCATCGAAGGACAAGTTGCGAGTAACGTAGCCCGGCTACCGGTTGTTGATGGAGAATGTTTGTAAAACTTAACCAGATCCTTTGGGCCAACCTGCTCATGTTTGGGGGTTGTTCCCGCACATGAGCAGAAGCCGGATCTCATTTTTATGGGTATCTTGTCACTGATATTGATATCCCACCATATTTGCCTGTTACCCTGTTGGAAATAGGCGAGAATATGAGGGGTACTCAACCCTGTGGAATTTATTTTTATATTCTTCTTGACGATATCGACAGGCTCTAATATATAAATTCTTCTTTTTCGTTTTGTAGACAAGGATAAAAATGGAAGTCACATGATAATCAGGTGATAAAATTATTTAATCGTTACATAATCGATACTTTTACGAAAACAAACTTTCTTGTTTGACAAACAGAAAAACGACAACAAGCCTTGACATGGTGTTTGATGCCTGTACGTACATGTAGCAAGGGAGAGCTAGAGAGAGCTACCGTGTCACCAGCTCTTTCGTCTGGCTTCCGGGGGACACCTCAACGCTTGAGATTTTCCCTTGTCGCATATAACTTTTACAAAATCTGGGGCAAAGGAAAAGGGGCTGGGGAAGGATGTCGGTTTCAGGCCGAACCCCAGGCCTTGTTGTGTCTTCCCCGCTGAACGGGAAAGCAGTATCATCCTCACATTCCGTGGGAGTGTGCATCTTGTGAGCATTCTTTCTTCTTCTCTTAAGCCGCGTATTTCAGTCCTGCTGGCAATTTTTTCGGTTACGGAAGTGGACGAATTTATCGTAATGTCTTTTTTTTTTATGATCCTACATGGTCATTCGGCAGGTAAAGTAATGGAAACATCCAGCTGTGACCCGAGAACTGACGATCAAGTTAGAGGAATATCTTGTAGTATAGGCCCCCTATTGCTGGCAAGGTGCTCAAGCCTCTCTCAAATTAATCAAACATCAAAACCTCATATGGCCAACGATTGAGTAGTATCTGGATGTACAACAATCCGGAGCATGGAGTATACATACATGGATGCAGAAACAACGCACCTACGGAGAATCCTCTGCAAAGAGGAAGTTATGTAAAAGGTCAGCTGCATATATGGGAAAGAATTAAGATTTTCTTGGATCGGATTCGGAGCATTTCGTCTGGTCCTTCGGGCGATGGGATTTTTCTCAGCAGCCAGTTAGAAAAAACCACGGGAAAAAGGGCGGGTAATTATTCATCCAGAAGCAAAGAATCGCTCAGCAAGTTGTTGGAAGCTTCTCGTGGCCACCGTGGAGCACGATTCGAAGACACTGGATGTGGTGGAGTCACAAGGAGGCGCTGTCCTGGTCACCCAGCTGCATCAGGTGATGGATAAAAATACACTCCCTAAAGGAGCCAGTGCCCTAGCCTGAAAGAGCGGCTCCAAGTCTCTTGGGACTTCTGGAGTGCGCAAGAATATCATCAGTTGTCTGTCCGGACGGGTCTGCCCGCGAAGTTAACGTTGTGGTCTCCCGGCCTACTCGGGGGAAGGAACCGTGGATTGGTTCAGTTCTTTAGCGTATGGGGCTGCAGCTCCCACCCAAGGTACGTATATAGCATCTAGCACAGAGTGGGAGGTGGAAGAGAAGAGGAGAAACAACGATGCCCGCTTGCTGCTTTTACGCTCGACAACCCGCCCCGCAGGTGACCCCCTTGCAATTGCTCGTCGCGCCGCGAGTGGCCGAGCTAGTGTCAGGTTGACGATGGGCCAATCCACTTACGATCGCCAGAAAACGCCTCTGACGAAGGGAATCTTGTTGCCCAGGGCCGGAATGTTGGGGGGGGAAATGCAACAGCAGTCTTCATCTGTGCACACTGCGAATTGCGAGTAACAAGACTTTTTTTAAATGAAGCCTCACTTCCGCCTGTGGCTGCCGGGCCTGGTAAATTCGTTCCTACAGGGATCAACTTGTCAATTCCATGCGAAGGGGGAGGTAAAACAGGAGGAACATCGGCCATTCGATCCATGAATGGTCTCCATTCTCCAACGTACTCGCTAGCTAGCCGCAGGAGCAGCCCGAAGGGTCCAGGCCCTCCCCTCCCTTGCAAGAAAAAAGGGCAAAGGAAAAAAGAATATACAAAAAAAAAGAGAGTGACTGACAGGGGGCTTCTTCACTTCTCCCAATCCTTAGCAATTTCAGGAACATAGTTGCGGATACATAAGTTGCTGGAACCGCTCCATCCATTCCACCTGGGAACTCGCCAGTATCATTGTCATTCCCCAACCAACGCCCATTATCTAAACAACTTTCTTGTTTGCTGTTCTGTGACGCAGCTAAACAAACCTTACCTCCTTTCTGGCCGTTCTTGTCTCGCAATTCAAGTATCATCATCCTTGCCTTCGAAAACCCAAATGGCTTACTTATAATCCACACGTTCTGCACACCTTGGTGGCGGATAATTGCACAATTGTTGGACTCTCATCTTTATTTTTTTTTTTCTGCAAGACAATCAATCCCTTTCCCTATATATATTTAAAGCTTCCCACTCATTTCTTTCGTTTGGTGGGCATATACATCACGACAAGCACGATTCCTGCTGGGTCCTCCCTCAGAGCTCCAATTCCCTCTCTCAACCAAGCATTTCCAAGGTTTCACAATGCCGGCATACCGGATGCTTGATCTCAATCCCTTATCAGCCCAAGAAAATACCATGTATTCCGGCCGCGGGGGGGCAGGGAATTTCCACCCCCTCAAGAACAACACAATTACGTCGTCCAGCTCGATATCAAGCGCGCGCACCCTATCCTCGCGCCTTGGGCTCAACCCTCGGCAATTACTCCCAGGAGGCCGCGGAGGTCTTGGCAACTTTCACAGCACATCGGAGTATGCAATCTTTAGCTTCGATGAGGAGCTCGAACAGCAATTGAAGCGAGAAAAGGACGTTGCTCCAGTCTTCCACATCGGCCGAGGAGGGGCAGGCAACATGGCTGCTGTCCCTGATGCCCCAATCACGAATCTACCAAAGAAGCGGTGTGGGACGGAAAGCGTTGGAAGCTCGTCAGGCGGCAGCTCGTCTGGCGGAAAGGCCAAAGATTGGCCGCGCCAAAATCTAGAGAA